AAGTGGTGGAGTGCTGGCCCTGAGCACAGAAGCTCAAGGACAAGCCCCAGGACTAGCACAAAAAATTAGCATAAATGTAAAACAGGTCCTGTCTTGCTGGAGATCTGGGTAAGAGGCAGGAGGTGAAAGAAGGCAAAGAGGGGTGAGTGTGACCAAAGCATTTTATATGCATGAATGAAACTAGAATAATAAAAGCCATTAAAATTGTTTCACAAAAAGAGGGGATGTTAATAAGGAGTAATAGAGGGGGTGAATTTGATTGTTGTATCTTATAGGCATTTATGGATATATTACAACAAAACCCCTTTGAACAATTAACATCTGCTAATACAAAAGAACGGTAAAATATATGCATTGTTATCTTAACAGAAACCCACCCCTGGCTACAAAGGAAAGTTTCTCTCTAGCTGCCCACTGGAAATGTGCTGAAGGATTGATAACAAGCTTGCCCTGTGGGCAACACCCCAGTTTGCTGAGGAGGAGGGGAGCTGGGAAGGATTCTGCAACACACTGACTGTAAAAGCAAGTACCACAAGAATTTATTGCCAGGCTCTGGTAGCTTAAGCCTATAATCCCAGCTACTCAAGAGGCTGAGATCTGAGCATTGCAGTTCAAAGCCAGCCCAAGCAGGAAAGCCCATATAGACTCTTATTTCCAATTAACCAGCAAAAGCCCAAAAGCTCTACAGTTGTGGTTCAAGTGGTAGAACATGCTAACTTTGAGAAAAACGTCCAGGGACAGTGCCTAGGCTCTGAGTTCCCTGAAGTCCCAGGACTGGCACCAAAAAAAGAGAAGAATTGACCTGTCTTCTAGTTGGCCATACGCTAAAAGAGTTCTCAAAAAAAATAAACTATTGCTGTCATGACATTTTATTTGTAAATATCTTAACATGCATCTCCAAAAAATAAGAGCCCTCTTCACAAACACATACATTTGCTGTCTACTGCTGCATAGTGAGTAAGGCCACAGCACAGCAGAAAGAGACAGACATGTCTTGTCTCATTGGTCCTGGGCCAAAAATCCAGGTGTGGCTAAGCTGGACACCAGGACTTCAGAGCTCTCAGAAGGTAGTCCCCAGCCACGGACTGGTAGCTCACACCTGTAATGCTAGCTACTCAGGAAGCTGAGATCTGAGAATACTGGTTCAAAGCCAGCCTGAGCAAGAAAGTCTGTGAGACTCTTACCTCTAATTAACCCAAAGTGGAGCTGAGGCTCAAAGTGGTAGAGCCTTGAGCAAAAATGCTTAGGGGCAGCGCCCAGGTCCTGAGTTCAAGCCACATGAGCCACAAATAAAAGAAGGTAACAACTTCCGGCCCACCTGGGGGTGGAGGACCTGTTACCAGAAACACGTTGCTGCCATGTTTCGATTCCTAGGGGTCATCGGGTCCCCCCCACTCCACACAGTGCTGCTCATGGCAGGACCGCCCTTTCCTTCAGCAGACCCATCCAAGACAGAGAGAGCACACCTGAGAAAGTCCCGGGCCCTTTCTCCCCTGATCCCAGAAGAGCATCTCTTTACTCCAGCCATTGTGTCCATACGGGGTACTAAATGTGGTCCCGACTCCTGGGGAGAGGCCCCTGCAAGGCCGTGGCTGCAGGAGCAGGTCCTGCTCACAGGCTGCCTTCCACACCACCCACGGCCGCAGCTGTCAACACGAACGAGCCTCCTCGAATTCAGTGAATAACCAGGCACAGAAAGAGCCACCAAGTGTCACCAGATGCCTAATACGCACTTGCTCAGGCCATGATCCAATCAATGGTCCCCACTGTATTTGGCTCTTGAGGCTCGTAGTTATCATTTGATAAGCTGTTACCCCGCCTGCCTGCGTCTCATTCCTGACACCGACTTATGAAGAGACAAGGCTAGGAACCCCGAGCGTCAAGCTGTTCTGGGGCTCAGAAGAGTCTGGGAGGCCCCGTCTGAACCCTAGAAGCACTGGTTAGACCCCAAGGATGGAAGCCCCAGGAGACAAGGTCCTGGGAAGGGCCCCGGGCCTGCTGCTGTTGCCTGGGCCTTTGGCCCCGCCTGGCAGCCCCTTCTCCAAGGGGCCCCGCTGGCCCTCCCACGCGACATATTTGATGGGACCACGAGGGGAGAGATGGACAAAGGCAGTGAGTGACTGCGGGATGCAGAGGAGGACAGAGCACAGTCCAGCCCCAGGGGACAAGGACAAAATCATGCAGGCTTTCTAACTTCCTGCTCGCACCCACGGGAAACACATGCCACGCCTGGCAGCGTCACTACCAACGTGACGTCATGTCCTTCGGAGACTCCAATTGGCAGGCCGCTTCCATTCCCCTGGGCCTCTCTAAACGCCGAGGAAGCGGAACCCCGTGGACGGCTGGACAGACTTCACAGTCCTCACACCCACTCTGAGAGGCCACGCTGGCCAAGGTCACCTTCCTACGTACCAGAGCTAGACTTTCACACTTTCAGACATGAGTCCAGTTCTGAAGTTTAAAGCGTGTGTGTGCGTGTGCGTGTGTGTGTGTGTGTGTGTGCGCGCGTGCCTGCTGCCCAGAGGGACCAGCCAGCAGCTGGAGACAAATGTGTTTCCCTCCTCCTAGCAGTGGGAATGCCATCACCAGCCTATTCTCACCACATGGGACTAGCACAGAAGACACCTTATTTCATCTCTAAAATACCTCAACTGCACCGACCTGACCAGGAAGTGACCTCCTAGCCGCCAGCCCCACCCACAACATTGAGACTTTGTACATACCACTACCTTTGACCCTGTTGGAAAATGCAGTACCTAAGGCGGAAGCTATGGGCTCACTGTACCTTAATCTGGTCTCCAGAAACAGGGACCGAGAGCGAACAAATGCAGCTGTGGTACTCGCCGGACACGATGTTGAAAATGACCTATACAACTTGTGGGTCGGGATGGAAGGGAAAGACTGGGAGAAGGAAGGTAGGGGTGACATTGTCCAAAAAGAAATACACTCTACCTGACTTAAGCAACTGTAACCCCTCTGCACATCACCTCTAAAATAACAATTAAAAACTTTAAATGAAATGCCATCTCTCCACTCCAGCCACACCAGGTGAGTCACCGGCGGGAATCCCAGAGCATTTCTGCCCATGGTTGTCTAGCGCTTGTTTTCTTATTCCCCAAAACTGGCCTAGCTGCCAGGTTTGTGCCCGGCTCCAAATGGCATACACATACCCCCTCCACTTACAAGAGAAATGGTATCTACAAACCCTTGGTGTATAAAGGCCTTCACGTTGTATTTTCCAGTATGTCCAACATTATAAAGGAAACTTGATTTCTGACACCCAGTGCTCCATATTGAACAAATCATAGGAAAATGAATTCCATAATGTTGGTGCCAGAACAACTTTTCTAGGCTATGTAGGAGCTGAAGTGTTGCTTAATGGTAGAGTGCTTACCTAGCATTTGACACACTGGGACCTAACCCAGTACCACAAAGAAAAAAAAGTGAAAATGACTTAAATCACTAGGCTTCAACCAGAGACGCCACAGCTGTCAGGGGACACGTGCTCACATCTATTGAGACTTCGGATCCTAACTAGGAGAGGCTTTGGTCTGGCACCAGCGCGGTGGGGGACCACAGGCACTGCTAACGCACAAGCCAGCTCCTGCAACAGACAGTGACCTGGCCTCCAACTGTGCCCGGGTTGCCAAATGCTAGTCTAAATCTCTTTGTAATTTTGAGGATGAGAAAACAAAGGCCTGAAGACAAACCTTCTTGTTCAGGGTTATATAAAGTCACAAAGCCCAAGTAGAACCCAGTGTCTGTTAACACCTGCTCCGTCTAGAGTGGGCTGGAGGTGGAGAGGGCGGGGGCTGGAGATCTGTTTATCTGTTCAATTGATTTGCTTGGTTGCTGCTGCGGATGGGATCCGGAGCCTGCCCCGTGGTTAGCACATGTTCTACCAATGAGCTGCCCCCAACAGCTGATGTAAATCCTGAACCAAGCTGCGCCAAAGGCAGAAAATGGCAATAAAGAAATCACTGAAACCACGTCAGGATATCCCCCACCGAAAGAAATGCTTTCTTCAGTTACCAAGGGAAATCGCATTGCTTCCCAGTCCCCCTCGGCCCTTCGGGAGCAGAATTCCTCCTGCTGTGAGTTCCCCTGGAGTTGACCAACGCCCCGGCTCGCAGGGCTGCAGGTTCGCGGGAACGAATGCCACATTCTCCTCCTCCTAACGGTGCCCACTCGGCCTGGCCCCCACCAGGAGAAAGGAATGTAAACAGGGTCCAAAGAGAGGCGGTGAAGGCAGCCCCTCCTCAGCGCAGCGGAGCTGAAGTCACCTGACCCGTCCAGCTGCGGTCAGCAAGCCCCCGCCTCCAGCGGCTCTTTATTCCGCATGGGAAGGAAAAGCGCTAGACTCTTCGGGCTGGGCTCATCTGCATCCATTTTGTTCTTACAGATGTTGCTGTGTCTCGCTGCCGCCTGTTCTCTTGGGGTGGGATGGGGGTGCGGGAAATTTATTTTATTGTACGCTGTGATTTTTCCAATCTACTGAAGCCCATGGGGGGGGAGGGGGTCCTCCACATTTAAAGGCCAGAGCCTTGCCCAGCTACTGCGAACCAAGGCGCCGCCAGGCCCCCCGCCAGCCTGTGCTTTGAAAGGAGTCAGGCAGCCCCCCAAGCCTCAGGAAGGCGCAGTCTCCCCAGAACGTCAAGATCCAAAGCGCACCTTCTAAATAAACGCCCCATTCTGTCCTCAGAACGCATGGATTCTGCTCAGCCTCGCCGCCCGCCCCCGCCCCTCGACCAGGAGGCTTCTGTCTTGGACCCGTGGCCCTCTTCCCGAGGTGGGCACCCCACGCCTGACTCACGCCAGCAGCAGGCCACTCCCCGCCTAGTGCTTGAAGCCGCAGCAGTTATGGGCAGCAGCCAAGGCCCAGCTTTCGGGGGGGAGGGGCGGCTGCGGCCAGGCTGCAAGGTGCCCGGCTGGGGCTCCGCCTGCAGCCTCTGCGCCGCCAGGGCGGCCGGGGAGAGCGCCGGGCGTCACGCGCCCCTTACCTGCAGTGCTGCATGGTGCGGCGCGGCCGCGCACCTGGCCCGCATCCTAGAGCATCCTTTCTTCAGCGAGACGGTGGGGAGCGTTGTGACGTCATCGGGGGCGGGGCTCCGCGCCGTCACGTGATGGCTTTGGAGCGCGGTTAGGAGCGAAGCAAGGTGATCTCCGGGTGAGGTAAGAGTAGCCAGAAACCGTCTTCAGCCAGATCCTTCTGCTTCAGGGTTGCTTGGTTCGATGGGTGCCGTTTCCCTGGCCTTGCACGACGAACTGTGGGAAACAAAGAGCCTAGGGAAGTGGAAATCCAAATTATTTCAGGTTCCAAGTATGTAATAGGATTTTGAACGAACTCTCAATAAGGAGATTATAATGAGAAGACTTGCCACCAAGTGTTCTTTTTCAAAACCGGTATTTATCAAATGCAGCAGAGAAATATATGTTGTGCAAATCAAAGTGACAGTTGAAATGCAGGGTGCATGCATATACACTGTACAGAGAAATCAGATGTCAAATATTACACTGAACAGTTTAAAACAGTTACAGAATATGATACTAACCATACTGATAAATAATACTTTACTCTCGAGAGCTGTACTCTAACATTTATTCGTATTTTCCAAAGGGGGCGGGGAATGGCCACACCACATAAATACCACCACTCACTTCGGGCTGGAGGTGTGACTCACATACTATTTACTTGAATGCTTAATTCTAAATATAATGCTATTGTATGAGAATAATTGTATATGGCTGTATTTATTTTCTTAAATTTTCTGGTAAAGCATGAAAGTGTTAATTGACAGTAAATCGCTATGTGTTTTCTAATTTGTATCACAGTCTGAAAAAGTGAGTCATTTTGTATTACAGAAAATATGTCCAATATCAACATTTCTTATTCACAACTAAAACAGCCTTGCCTAGAAAGCCTTAGAAGATTCTGTAAGAGAGCTGGGGATGTGGCTCAAACGATAAGAGCACCTGCCTAACAAGTACAACACCCAGAAATGAAACCCAATACCATGAGAAAAAAGGAGAAAATGCTGTGAACATTTAGTAAATGTGAAAAGCATATTTGCAACTTTAAGCAGTCCACATCCCCCAATGCCATGAAAAGGGACAATTCTGTAATCATTTAATTAATGTGAGAAAGCATATTTCAGACTTCAAGCAGGACTTGTACAAATTCTTCTTTTGCCAAACCACATAAACATTCTTTGACATTCGAAGATACAAAAGGCAGAACAATGATATTTGTATTGTAATTTCATACCAATCAATTTCTTTTCATGAGTTGCACAACTTTAATATTCCCTTCACTCCTACCCCCGAATGACACATGAAATAGACCGCCTTCCAGCAGGTTAAACTTACTTGCTATTTATTTCAAGCAGCTTTTCTGCCATTCTATATTTAGCCTTGCCTCCCTTTTTTTAAACCACCATTCCCTCCAGAGTAACCACATTTCTGTTCAGAAAGTCATTCTCTAATTTAGGCATAAATACAGCCCATGCCTCTCACTAAGATCGATTATTTTCAAGACCATATTTTAAAACTTGACAGTGCCAGTGTGCGTTTGTAGGTCACGCCTCTCAGGTTTGCTTTCCTGAGTGCGAAAGAACTTACCTTTTGTTGTCAGATTCTAGAGATCTGAAGTTCAAATGCTACCGGGATCCCCTGCTCCATTTGTCGGAGGGTCTGATTCGAGAGGACAAGTGACAGGCTCATCTTCCTGACAGGCAAAAGTCGCTTTCTGCGTCAGCCGTTAGGAGGGCCCCAGAGGGAGGGTGGAGGGTCACGTGCTTGGCCCAGCCACTCAGCCCCCGCGCAGCGGCCAGGTCACAGAGACCACAGTGCCAGTCTCTCATCTCCTACCTTCGCAGCAATCCAGTGGAGACACAGCTCTGCGTCAAGTAAGGACGCCCCGCCCTGAGGGTCTGGACAGCAGCTGCTATGAAGCTCTCGAATCAACGGCAAGTGGGCAGCGTGTAATGTATCACGCCAGGGCAGCAGCACATGGTACAATTCAACCCACTTGGCAGAAATGACCAAATATAAGCACCTTCCTCATCCACAGCAGGTTTTGGTTTTGTCCTTTTTTTTTTTCTTGCCAACACCCTTTAGTTTCACCTTCTCTTTTTCCACATGATTACTCAATTGTACACACACACACACACACACACACACACACACACATTGCAGCAGACCGAAAACTGGGTCATGCAGTTTCCAACAGTTTTCAATACCCTCCATCAATTTGGCAAAGCTTAAAAGGAACAAAAAAAGAAACTCAGTACCACCTGTGAGAATTTGTAATTTACCAATCATTCCCATGGTCCACTTACCAATTCCTACCAAATGCCTTAAAACTACATATAATTTGAGCAATTATTCTGGAGCCCTGACAGCTGCCTGCCCCAGCAATTTCTGTCCAGGAATTTGCCCTGGAGTTCGGGTGAGGGGAGAATAGAACCCGTGTGCAAGGAATAAGCTAGGGAAAGTTGGCTGCAATATTATTTTTGACCTCAGACCACTGGCAACAAATTAAATTTCCAAAAATAGGGTATGCAAAATAGACATCTGTAAAATGCAAGAAGTTAAAGTGCTCTGGCAATAGGTCCTTATGGGGGAGAAAAGATACTTACAGTAGATTACACAATCAACAAGCTCCAAAGCATTCTGTGCTGAGAGATTGATAATGTCTGTAGATATGATGTATTTATAGGGTAACTATAAACACATTTGTATATGAATGTAGACAAGAGTTAGGGGAAGAAGTCAATGAAATATTAATTATAGCATTTCACTTGCTAGTGGGATAAATGATGTTTGAAATTTTTCTTCATCTCTTTTGCTAGATAAAATAAAATTTCTCCACAATTAGTGCACATTGATTTTGTAACAAGGGAAAAAAGTTTTCTTAAAAGCCCCATATTGGTCATGAAATAAATGTTTGGAAAGAGCCCTTGTTTAATGTCTTTAGCTTTGCACTCTCTCTGTCTGTCTCTGTCTCTGTCTCTCTGTCTCTCTCTCTCTCTCTGTCTCTCTCTCTCTCACACACACACACACACACACACACACACACACACACACACCGGATTTTTATCCCTTTGAGTCTTTTGTATTTTTTCTTTATTGATTATGTCACTTTTCTCCCAATGTCACTAGAGTTCCAACAGTGATATTTTTTTTGTGATACTGGCAATTAAATTTGGGACCTTGAGCTCACTAGGCCAGGCAGGCTCTCTTTCCCTTGAGCCATGCTCCCAGCCTCTGTTTGTGTTGATTATATTCAAGGTAGAGCCTCCTTTTATGTCCTGGCCAGCTTTGCTTTGATCTACTTGTGCTTCCTGGCCTTAATGTGGATGACAGGCGTGTGCTACCTTGCCTAGCAAATGATTGAAATGGCAGTCTCCTGAAAGTGTATGCCCAGGCTGGCCTTGAACTGTGATTCCTTGATCTCAGCTTCCCGAGCATTACAGCCTTGAGTCACTGTGCCCAGCTAAACAATGCTTCTTCAGTAGAGGCAATGTTGCTTCCTACCACCACTGTTTGAAATAGCCAGGTGTCCTTATCTTAAGGCCCCAGACCAGTGCCTTGATTTACAAACTACCTTAGCCTTTCTCCTTGACTGAATGTAATCCAATTTGTCTGGCAACAGACCAGCGCTTTGAACATAACAAGCCTTTGAACTGAGACCCTGTTTTACTCCCTCCCTACCTCCAGCTGTGGCCCTTTTGGCAAGTTTTCTGTGTCCCACCATTAGTTGCTAGTACCAACCCCCACCAGACATTCCTTTGAAGTCACTACAAATACCTCAGACTATAAGCAAGGAGCCACTCTCTAGCTTTGGCTGGAGGATCCCCTTGGGAAGGCTTTCCCCCCGGTAAACCTGTGCTGGTGTTGAACCATCTCTTTGTCTATTCTCCCTATCTTTTGAACTTCACACAGAGTACTCAGAGACTGTGGGGGCACAGTAGTGCATTCTTGTCATTGGGTGGGAAGAGACGAGGGACACTGCTGAACATACTGCCACCCCCCACCCCATGACAGGGAAGGATCCAGCCCCAAATGTCAAAAGGCTGAGGAAGAAACCCTGAGTTAGAACTGCTCATAAGGGATCATTTGAGCTGGGCTCTGGTGGCTCATACCTGTCCAGCTACTCAGGAGGCTGAGATCTGAGGATTGCGGTTCAAAGCCGGCCTGGACAGGAAAAATCTGTGAGACTCTTATCTCCAATAAACCAGCAGAAAACCAGAAGTGGAGTTGTGGCTCAAGGTGATAAAGCAGGCTGGGAAGGTGGCTCAGTGGTAGAGCGCTTGCCTTGCATGCTCGAGGCCCTGGGTTTGATTCCTCAGCACCACATAAGCAAAAGGAAAAATACCGGAAGTGGCGCTGTGGCTCAAGTGGTAGAGCGCTAGCCTTGAGCTGAAGAGCTGAGGGACAGCGCCCAGGCCCAGAGTTCAGGCCCCACTACCGGACCCAAAAAATTAAAAAAAAAAGTGATAAAGCAATAGCCTTCACACACACACACACACACACACACACACACACACACACACACACACACACACACACACACACACACACACACCCCACATATGAAGACTAGTGTTGCCTAATTTATTTGCAGCCCATCAACCACCCCTAGGAACCTACCCTGAAGGGACATGTGGAACATGTACAATAAATCCTATGGACTGGAAATTAACCTTACATAATAAGACAGCGTTCTCTAAGGAAGAAAAGCTTATCTATTTTAAAATTTGATATTTTGTGCATTGTATATTTTTGCATCAATATGTATGTATGTATATATGTAAGTATGTACGTCGTGGGACTTGAACTCAAGGCCTGAGCACTGTCCCTGAGCTTTTCATTCAAGACTAGCATTCTACCACTTTGAGCCAGAGCTCCACTTCTAGTGGAGTCCTTCCTGCCCAGGCTGGCTTTCAATTGTGATCCTCAGATCTCAGCCTCCTGAGTAGCTATGATTAGAGGTGTGAGCCACCAGCACTTGGCTCTTTTAATTTTAATAAATAATAAGCTACCTTTATTATTTACTCCTTTGGTGCCCTCTTAAATTTTGTACCCAAGGCAAGTGCTTCTCTTATCTCCTCCAAGTATCAGCTCTGGATAATGGTAGACTTTCTATAAATGGTGAATCTTATAATAAATGCTGGAGGCAAGGACTCTATTTCACATTTATGACCTTGGTTTTTTTTTACACCCAAATACCTTGTCTTGAATGAATGAATGAATTCTTCCATATCTATCTTGGTGTTATTACACATGATCAATGCCATAAAAGATTTGGAGAGTAAATAAATGATGTGGAACTTGAACTTGCAATTTAGCCTTTCCTGGGCGTTCTGAACTATTTATAAATCCCAAAAGACATCTGAAAGCCACAGGCTTGTACTGTGCTGCACTGGCATCCATCCAAAGGGACTGCTTTGACAGATGTGACAAACAACAGCCTTTAGATCCCTCTGTGTTTTGCACTGGAGCTGTCGTCAATGTCATTGTCCATTCTAGAAAATGTGAGAAAGGATCACTTCCTGTGAGAATCCATAGGGTTATTTGCTTCTCTGACAACCAGAATTGTGTAGTTTTCTCTTTGAGTGCCAGGAAACCCAAACTGTGCCAAAGCAATTCAGTGGGGCCTCTTTTGGTATATGCATGGGTAGTGTGCCAGCCAATGTCAAAACAACTCAGCTCTCCAAGAGTAGAGCTAGCAAGTCACACTAACACTGGCTGATTCCCTTGGTGTAAATTCTCCCATCCAGGTGGCTTCTCAGTACTGACTGGGGGTTGGCGGGGGGGGGGGGGGGGGGGGGGGGAGGGGGGGGGGTGGAAAGTGAAACATGGTGGCCTTGATTATTTAGCATCTCCACTGATTGCAAGGAACACAGAGCAATTTGTTTTCTTGTACCCAGGTAAGGAATGGCTTCTCTCCCCCCTGGATCTGGTCTTGATAAGAGCTGCTAATGTCTCAGTGCTTTGGACTGAATATATTTTTCTTTTGCTTTCTTTTTTTTTTTGTCTGAGACTGGGACTCAATCCCCACAAACTCGGGGGCCTTTTGAATGCTAGGCAAGCACTCTGCTACTGAGCTGCATCCCTCCCCCGATTCTTCTAATATTGCACTGCACTGAAATGATAACCACCAGCCATCATTGCTATTCACGTAGAAATGAACAGCTAAGGGCTGGGAAGGTGGCTCAGTGGTAGAGTGTTTGCCTTGCATGCATGAGGCCCTGGGTTCAATTCCTCAGCGCCACATAAGCAGAAAAACCGGAAGTGGTCCTGTGGCTCAAGTGGTAGAGCACTCACCTTGGCTGAAGAGTTGAGGGACCCAAAGTTCAGGCCCCACGACCGACAAAAAAAAAAAAAAAGAAAAAAAGAACAGTTAAAAAAAAATTAGTTCCTCCATTCTGCTAGCTACATACAAAGTGGTTAAAAGTGGTTAAGAGTCACACTTGACCAATAGCTGCCATATTTTGGTGCAGATATATAAAACCAACATTACTACAAATAATTAAATTGTACCATGCTGTAAAGCATTTCTGCTAAATGAATTCCATCACAATAAAACAATTCATGTTTATTACCTTTGGGATTCTGCCTATACTTTCAGGGTTGGAAAAGCAATCTGGTCAGAGTGTCGGTTAGTAAGAATGATGAAAAGGCATGGATTCCAGAATGTTGTGTATCTCTAGCCACAGGACTGGCGAAAGATGCTCCCAAGTGTGGCACAATGGACAGCTTCAACCTTTGGACTGCATCAGGACCCTGGAAGCCTTGATTCAAGAGGAGATAGACAGCACTTGATCATTTCTTCCAAAGCAAGAAGGCTACCATACAGGCATATAGAAAATGACCTTTGCCAAGGCAGGGGAGTGGGTACTTGGGTGGGCTGGGCAATCTCCCTCCTAAGCTATTCAATCTTTCCCCATAGAATTTGTGTCACCGCCACTTTCTGGGATGAAAGCATCGTGGTGGATGGGGCCCAGTTAGGTAGGGATGCCAAGGCGATGGAGAGATTGTTCTGGATTGACTGAGCGACATCATGATATTTGGAATTTATTTTACAAAATTAGGGTAGTCTTCTGTTAGGAAATTAATACAATAAAGCTTGTTCTTAGCTCCAAAAAGAAAACCCATATGCTCATTTCAGCAGGAGAAAAGGATATGAAAAAATATACATGCCCTTATTCATGTTAAAAACCCTTAAGGACACGGGCTCTGGTGCTCGCGTCTGTAATCCTAGCTACTCAGGAGGCTGAGATCTAAGGATCACAGTTGAAAGGCAGTCCAGGCTGGAAAGTCCGTGAGACTCTCTTTTTTGGGTAAATTTTTTAAAAACACTATTGTAAGGGTGATGCACAGAGAGGCCACAGTGACATAAGGCAATAAGTGCATTTCTGGCCATGGTTACACCTCTCTCGTTTTTCTCTCACTTTCCCTCCCCCCTCCCCCCCCCTCCCCCGCACCCCAGCTGTAAAGCTCATTTCTAACAGCGTCTCGTGAATATGGCTGTTGCCTTGGTTCCCGCTTTGTCCTTTGTGTCAGCATTTTGTTATTCCCCTTCCCTCCTGTGTGTGAGGCCCATCATGCAATCCTAGCACGGGGAAAAAGCGCTGAGGAAAATAGAAAGTGATGGATATGTATGTGTGTATGAGAGACAGACAGAGACAGAGACAGAGTGACAGTGAGAGAGGCAGAGACCGAGACAGACAGATTTTACCCCCTACGCCAACAGTTTGCTTGATAGGGAAAAGCTGGCTGTTATGCTCTGAATATGTCTCCTCCAAAATTCAGTGAGATTTGATTGGCCTGTGGCAGTGTTTGACATGGGGGCTTTAAGAGGTGGTTATGTTGTTTTATTATTATTTTTTTGGGGGTCCGGTCGTGGGGCCTGAACTCTGGGCCTGGGCGCTGTCCCTCAGCTCTTCAGCTCAAGGCTATCGCTCCACCACTTGAGCCACAGCGCCACTTCCGGCTTTTTTTCTTTTTGCTTATGTGGTGCTGGGGAATCGAACCCAAGGCCTCATGCGTGCAAGGCAAGCGCTCTACCACTGAGCCACCTTCCCAGCCCGTGGTTATGTTGTTAAAATGAACTAAAGCCTTTCTCAAGGGAGAGGTTCGGAACAGTGAGAGCCGGGTTGGTGTACAATGAGTCTGCCCCTCATGTTTGTGCCACTTGCCCTCCTGATTTCCCACCGTGTTATGACACAGCCAAGCAGACGCTAGTGTAAGCAGTCTCTTTTTGGGACAAACTCCTATATTAACACAACTTCCCAATGCCCCTTCATTAGCTAATACCTTTTTGAGAATGCTAAGCATGACCAAAGCCATCCCATTTGAACCTTGGAACATGTGATCTATGACCTGAGCTAAACAAGCCCAAAATGTGTCTGCAGTCTTTTTGTAACTACGGCTTACCTGAAACTGAGCATGCTCAGGAACGTACTCTTTAACTGAGTGCATTCCTATACATATTCATGTATAGGATCCCGCACTTCCTTTGCAAATAACTTTTCTTCTTCTCCCCTCACCCCAGCTTTGAAAATAACATGCTGTTCCCCTTCCCTGCTGCGGGCAGTCCATCTTCTCCTCTCTTTTATTTCTTGGAACTGCTTGTTTTGTCTTTACACTCACCAAGATGTGAACTCACTGCATGTGGTTTTGGAGTTTGTTGGTAGCGGTGCTTGAACTTGGGGCCTGGGCACTGTTCTTGAGCTCTTTTGTTCAAGGATAGCATTCAACCGCTTTGAGCCACACCGCCACTTCTGGTTTTCTGGAGGTTCACTGGAGATAAAAGTCTCACAGACTTTCCTGTCCGCGCTGGCTTTGAACCCCAGTCCTCAGATCTCAGCCTCCTGCATAGCTAGGATGACAGGCGGGAGCCACGGTGTCCCACCTTGCATGTAGTTTATACTATCATCATGCTCTAGCGCTTCTTAGCCTCCACAAGCATGCGCTAAATAAACCTCTATTCTCTGCAAATTATCCAGAATTGTGTATTTTGCTATAGCAACAGCACTCGTTTCTCACTAAAGTCTGATAAAAGCAAAATAGCCTTTCTTTGCGGCACTTGGAAAGGAACCCAGGTCCTTGGGGATGCAGGCAATTGTTCGCCACTGAGCTCCAGCCTTTTACTTACCTTTTGACAGTCTTGCTACCATAGCCCAGGCTGGCCTCAAAACTGTCATCCCCTACCTCAGGGTCTTGAGTGCTGAGATGAAAGGTGTGCACTTTTCTCTATCAGTATTATATACTAAAATATGTACATGTGAATTGGTAAAATGGATACGATTTGCTTGAAACCACAAGAAAGGGGAGAGGGTAGAGAGGTAGCTGAAAGAAGACTGACCGCAGGCTGAAGGCAGCGAGTATTGCATGTGCATTCACTTTATTATTCTCTGGTTTTATAACACTATTTTTAAACACACATTTCTATCTTGTTTGGGGGGGGGGGGTGGTCCTGAGGCTTGAACTCGGGGTCTGTTCCTGAGCTTCTTTTGTTCAAGGCTAGCGCCCTACCACTTGAGCCATTGCTCTACTTCCAGCTTTTTCTGTGATTAGAGATAAGAATTTCACACTTTTCTTACCCAGGCTGGTTTAGAACCACAATCCTCAGATATCAGCCTCCTGAATAGCTAGGATTCAGGCATGAACCATTGGCATCCAGCATATTTTTATCTTTTTTATGTGCACCCAGAATATTTGTATCTTGTTATGAGCACTCAACATATTTTATCTTTTTTTCATGTGTGTGTTGGGACTGAATTCAGGACTTCACTCATACTAAAACATGTATTCTGCCACTGGGCTACATTCCCAGTCCCTGTTTGGATATATGTGAGTCTTCATAAAATTGTAATGAAAAAAACAAAACACTTCCATTTTGTTCTTAAGGCAGGTTAGTTTAATTTTATAGAAGAAATACTTTCAAACAATACAAATGACAAAGATCAGAGAGAACAGGGACAAAAACAGAGATGAGTACTGATTATAATTTATTCCCACAACAGAAGATTAATTTCAGAGATCACCACCAAAGCCCGACAATGAGTGATTAGATAATGTGAAAAACCAAATTCCCTTTTACACAGAGTGCTATTTCTACCAACCCTGGTGACAGAATGCCAGCATTTGTGAACCAGAACTGCTTAGAAAGCAGCAGGTCCTTTTTCCACGAGGCAGTACATACACAAGTTGGAAGCGCGGGTAGAACCCCCCGAGCCCATAGGCTTTCACTTGTCTGATGTGTGCAGTGTTTTCGGCCAAGCCAGCCCCGTCATGAGTGAGAAGCAATGCGGATGTTACATGTTCTCCTGCCTGCTCAGACCAATCGCCGGTGCTGCACATGCGTACAGTACTGCCTTTCTCCCAGCCTTCAAGCGCTTGCGTGTTTTCTCCTTGCTTCCATTCCACTCAGATTTCAAGGCCACCCAGCAACTCAGGCTTGGAGGCAGGGGAAGACAAGGCAAAAGGTGGCAAGCCCACGTGTTCCTTGCTGCCCCTAGCTGGGAAGCAGGTGCGGTGTGTGCTGCCTGGACGGTGGAGGGAGGGGCGGAGGGGGCACACCATACAGACACCTGTGCAGAGGGAGCAGTGGTGCTCCGTAGAAGACACCTGTCTCAGCTTCCTGAATGCACAGTGAGCTTCTCAACAAGGGATGGCAAAAAAGCTGCTTCACCCACCAACCCTTAGACGCTGTAAAAGCCCTGCCACGTGGGACTCCAAACAATCTACTCTGTGCACACTCCAGCATCAGCTACTGGGGGCAAAGACAGAGGGCCTGCTCAACGGTTCTCATGAGGATATAGATGCTTTGGGTCTCTACCTCTATTGTGGGTTCAAACAAAAAGGAATTAGCAAAAAACATAACAAAACAAAAACAAAAAAACAGGCCAAAAAAGCAAGACTAAAAGCAAGAATCAGGAATGCATAGCAAGAGATGGCAACCATTAAAAGCATACAATTTTCAGTCTTGCCATCACTGACAAATTCAATTGTCCGTGATTGGTCTTATCAATGAAATGCTTTTACAAAATTCAATTTTAATAACTCTAACAAGGAAAGTGGGTTATACAAGGAGGGAGGTTACAGATTGATATGAGAGACCTGATTAAAAGGGGCATTTCTGCAGGAGGGGAAGAAAGATCTAGGAAGAGAGTTCTGTTTTCTTTGACATTTCTTGTGACCACTTCATTTACTCCTTCAAGGCCTCAGAAAGAAGAGCACATTTCATCTGAAGTAAGTATGTGCCAGGCAAACTGTATCATTTGACATTTAAAAGAATCATGGCATATTTTATTACATTATCATTTTTTTCTTCATGAGCTAGTATTATGATTTTGTGAGAACTAATGGGAAGGCTTCAATATGGGAGGTATTCTGATTTAATTAGATAGATTTCTGGAAGTGATTACCTGGGTAAGTCCAGTTACCTATATGTCCTTCTCTCCACACATACACAAAAGCACCTTCAGAGTTACGTCTCTGCCATATTAATCACCGCATTTACCCTCAGCTTACTGGAAATGTACACACTGAGTTCCCTCTCCACTTCCCTTCATGAAACAGTAGTAGAGAGCAGGAGACCACTCCCACCCTGCTCATCTATCCATCAGCCAGAGGCGGCCAAGGCCAGCTGCACATGCTCTAAGGAGCCCAGGCAGTATGATCGGCCATTGGCCACCATAGACAAGCAGACTGAAACTTGGGATGCTGAAGGCTCTGTCACCAAGCTTCAGACTCGTGGCAAGCACAGAAAGATGCATTAGACGACAACACAGCGATGAGAGCCAGCAGTGGCCAGTACACAGCAGACACTGAGCCCTGCAATGCATACACAGCTTGTGGACACAGCCTGCGAATTACAACTGAACTATTACAGATGACATTTTAACCTAACACACAGAGAGTGAGAGTGTACGATACACACGGTAAATGAATCTGTGAGAAACTGATACAAGTAACACATTTAGCACATAGTGTTTGCGTTTCAGGTGTCAGAAACAAGACCGGCCCCAAGTTCCATTCTACTGCATGACAAATACGGAAGAACAAAATTTCAGTCTTAAAATACATCTTAAAGTCAGTATTTTCCTTCAAGGAAAAAAAGTACTATAAATAAATTACAATACAGTGAATTTGCCTGAACTCACTTCGTTTCTGTCTTCCAGCCTTTAAGTCAAATAAAACAGCATAAAAACTGTACACTCTTAACATGATAGTTGATCTTTTATAAAATAACCTGTCTTCAGAGATGTCAATTTCACAACAAGGAAAAACCAAGCCCTGTTGTCGTCACTATTATAAAATATATATGAATAGATATATGGGTTTTTTACAAAATGTGTATATTAATAGCTTTTGCACAAATATTTTAAAGACAAATTTAGCTAATCTAAGAAATTCATGAAAATAAATCAGGCAGATAAATACTTCCTGTGTATAACGCTCTACATCAAACATCATCAGCTGGGAGAGGAGGTATGTTAATCCTTGGTCTTGTAAAAAATGCTATCTTCTCCCTGGGATTGAAAAGAAGAACAGGTTAGATGTGAGTCTGAAGATACTGAAAGCTGACATCAGGCTCTCATAGCAATGATGGCTTTCCTTACAGAACAAACTGAACTTAAAGACATAGTAGCATATATGTTTGTACACTGAATGTGAATTTAGTAGAAGTTATGAAGTTCTGAGGGCAGAAGTTGGTTTATCTCCTAAATCACTGCCTAGTAGAGAGATATGGGCACACAGGAAATACTTGTTTTATTAATAAAAGAAAAACCACACGCATGAATGAACTTTAAATCATTATTTGAAGGAAGCACATTAGTCTTTTATACTAATTTATGATGGAGATGTGAGTATCAAAGATATCCAAAACTCAAGGAGGCTAAAAGTCAGGTGTGTATTATCCTGCAAGCAAAAGGAATGAAACACGTTATAATGTAGATGAACTTCAAAAGCATGCTAAGGAAAAGCAGCAAGACAAGCAAGACCATGCATCGCATGATTCCACTGATATGAAGTCGCCAGAAAAGGCAAAGCCAAAGGAACAGAAAACACATTGCAGGTTGGCAGGCTAGGGAGGGGGAAGGGCAGTGACTACTGAATGCGTGTGGCTACTTTCGGGCTGATAAACGTGTCGACAGAGGCAGAGGAGGCACAACATGGTAGACAGACTGAATTTTACTGACCTGTTTGCTCTAAAATTTCTAATTTTATGTTATGTGGTTTCACGTTAATTTTTGCAGATATAAGAGAATACATATGTCTCTGTGCAATTCCCCTCAGGTATGAAAACAAAAGCAGGCTTTAACGTACTGATTACTCAAGTTGGGAAAAGCCAAGGTGCTGATAATGCCTGAGTCTTGTGGATGTTGACTCTGTGACCATTCATTCAACTGAGCAAAACACACACTCTCCTCTATGTAGATGCCGCCATAACAAAATGTCAATTGAAAAAGCAAAGCTGACATATATGTGTGTGCATGTGTAAATCAGTTATTTGTAATACCAAACACATGGAAAGAAAGAGCAGTTTGTAAAACAGAGTAGTTGGGTGACTTATACTTACTAGATGAAACAAGCTATTATGGGATGTTTTCATAGTAAAAATTGATTCTGGATTAGGATTACAGGTGCCATAGAAACAGTGGGTAGAAAGAAAAGATCAGAAGAAAACATCAAGATGCTACTAGTGGTGAGAATTCTGCTTATATCGCCCTCCTGGTTATTTTTCGGTGGGTACTTCACTTTGTGTCATAACGAGAGTATCACAGTAACAAGAGTGCAAGGACAAGCACCACTGGCCATGGTATTCTGTTCTGCCCTACCTAAAGGTCTGCACTTGGATGGGCTCTTTGTGGTTTTGCCCTCGCAGTTGGTAGATCTCTTTGGAGGCCTTCTTCAGCATCTTCTCAGCTGCTTGTTCTTGATGGTAGTCAAGTTTGCTCTGTCTGGTCTGGAACAGAAACATTGGATGAGGAACACTTTTCCATTGGACTTATTTTTCGAAGAAAAATAAATGGATGTTCAGTCACTGGAACTCCGAAAGACCAAGTCCAGCCATAGAGTTCCAGGTGGGAGGAAGGCCCGCCTCATCCATATCTCCCAGGGAAGTCTCCACAGAGATCACTAAGGGTGGCTGGAATTAAGTCCCACTGACTTAAGATCCCAACATTCTCCTCACAAGGTGGGAGACCACAGGCCTTCCTCTCCAGCCCCTAGAAGCTTCCAGATATATGCTGATACCTCCACAAACACCACCCTACTGGTCCATACTGGGGAAGAACAGACTGCATACTCATTCAATTACACTGTCATTTTGAGGACACTCACTTCTGGGCCAAACAGCAGCTGGAAAACCAGCTGAGGGCTCCTGGGGGCAGGCCTGGGGCCTCTCACCTGCCGCTCCGCTTCCTTCAGCAGGTTGCGGAATCGCTCATCCCAGAGCACCCAGTGTGGGAGGTCAGTCTGGCCTCGGACCTGTGCATCTTCTAAGCGCTGCCTCAGTTCCCGGAGAGCACAGATCTCTTCATTCAGCTGTCTCTGCCGTGTCCTTGATGCCTGGAGATCCAGCTCCAGGTCTAGGGAGGTGCGAGCCATGAGCTCGGCCAGAGAAGACCTGCAGGACTGGGGGAGATATTGCTTTTTGAGTGTACATATCAGCTCTGGCCTTCTGGAAGGCTCTTCCACAACTAATAAACAGACATAATGTAAGTATTCCTCTCTGAGGATAGCCCAAATGACTGCAGTAAGGTTCAGATGTATTTGCAAATGTATGGCGCCGATGGCTCACTCCTGGAATCGCAGCTACTCAGGAGGCCGAGATCTGAAGATCATGGCTGAAAGCCAGCCCAGGCAGGAAAGTCCATGAGACTTTTTTTGTTGTTATTTTTGTGCCAGTCCTGGGGCTTGAAACTCAGTCTAGGTGCTGTCTCTGAGCATTTCTGCTCAAGGCTAGTGCTCTACTACTTGCGCCACAGCATCACTTCTGGTTTTTTGGTAGTTAATTAGAGATCAGAATCTTAAGGACTTTCCTGCCCCAACTGGCTTCAAACAGCAATCCTCAGGTCTCTACCTCCTGAGTAGCTATGGTTCCAGGCATGAGCCACTAGCACCAGACTTCGTGACTCTTATGTCTAATTAACCACCAAAAAGCCAGAAGTGGAGCTGTGACATAAGTGGTTGAGCACCAGTCTTGAATAAAAAGGCTCAGGGATAGTGCCAAGGCCCTGAGTTCAAGCTCCAGAACCAACACGCGCGCGCGCGCGCGCGCACACACACACACACACACACACACACACACACACGAGAGAAAGAAAAGAAGAGGTAGGAAGGTACAATTCTGCCAATGTACAAGAGTCCAGTTAAGGTTTATGACAGAGAAACAAACCTAAACACAAAGCAGCAGGAACCTGATTAAATAAATTACATGATGGCTTGTATGAGCATCAGTGGACCAAGGCCAGATGCCACAGCATACTACCGAGCATAGGACAGCCCTCACAGCAAAGAGTAATCTCGTTCAAAATGGCAACAGTGTTGAAATACTTTAGCAGCTGAATTATGACCTTTCTTACAATTCTTAGCCATTGGCCAATCAGTAAAATCATTACATATAATCCATGAATCTTAAAAATATACATTCCTGCCAAGTACCAGTGGTTCACACCTATACTCCAAACTACTAAGGAGGCTGAGAACTGAGGACTGAAGTTCAAAGCCAGCCCAGGCAAGTAACTCCGTGAGACTCTTATCTTTAACAAACTACCAAAAAAAAAAACAAAAACAAAACAAAGCTGGAAGTGAAGCTGTGGCTCAAGTGGTAGAGCACTAGACTTGAGCAAAAACACACCCAAGAGGGCCTGAGCTGGCTCACGCCTGTAATCCTAGCTACTCAGGAGGCTGAGATCTAAGGATCACAGTTTAAAGCCAGCGCAGGCAGGAAAGTCTGTGAGACTCTTATCTCCAATTAACCATGAGAAAACCAGAAGTGTGGCTCAAAGTGGTAGAGTGCTAGCCTTGAGCAAAAAAGCTCAGGGACAGCACCCAGGCCCTGAGTTCAAGTCCCATGATGGGCAAAAAAAAGTGTGGGTGTGCATGTGTGTAGTGTGTGTGTGTGTGTGTTTCCCAAAAAGGACCACTACCTTACAAAGTAAAATTTTATATGAAGAAAAAAACTGAGTAAAGAGAATTAAAACCATAGGATATCCTATGTAGAAGAAATGCTATATGTCAAGAAACTCAAATTTTCTAAAATATATATATATATATATACTCTCCAGTCAAAAAAAGTAAAAGGTGTATACAAATGATTGATTTATGACCTATGAATATGAGAGATCATGAATGATATAAAATAACATTAAGATATACTGATAACATGAATATATGCTCAGAAAAATAATATGTTAAGGAAACAGGAAACAAACTATTACCCTTCAAAGGTAATAACCTTTCAAAGACCATAAAAATAACCTTCAGGGAAAGTACAGATCCCATATTAGTTTATGTGTCACCCACCTGTTTATAGCGAAGTGTTCGTCTTTCCAAAGTATTTCGGACAAAAGGGGATTTCCGGGGCAGTGTTGAACTGTCACTGTCACTTCGATAAAGCTGCATCAGAAAGCATGATATTCAGAAACAATCAGAAATTCACTACAGCAGAAGTACTCTGCATTCATGTATACAAATGGGGCAATAAGAGCTGTTGAAATTGTTTTAAGGAGGAAAGAATAAGGACAAAGGATAGAGGGGGCACGTTTTAACCATATATGGAAATGTTTTAATGAAACCCTTACGTACAATCAATATATGCTAATAAGTTTAAATAAAAACACTCATTCTCTGTGTGTATTCTGAATGGCATTATTTTGTTTTTTCTCATGAGTATTCAGACATATTTAGGACTTTTGGTGCTCTTTTACTAAATCTTTGCATTTCATTTAAAACACAACTAAACAAGAGTTTAAGGGAAAATGAAAGATGAACCCAAACTAAACCAAACCAAAGCCACAACCCTGGTCTCCTTTCATGTCTTTCAAGTTAACCACAAGAAGTTTCCAGACTAACAGAATCAATATTTCTGCCCTATCAGTACTAACTAAACTTGATATAAGGTATGATACTTATGAAAGCTGGTAGTGTTCTTAGCGTTTTCTTATTTATTGATTGTTCTCATTTGCTATATTTCTGGTTTTTGCAAGAGCTGGGAAAAACAGCTTTCTGGAAAAAGACACTCATTCCTGGTAGCAGTAAGACAAGCCAACATCACCAAGTCCTGCTGTGTCAGTCGAGGGAAAATATCTGGTCTTAAGAGAGAAGTAAAGAATGTCTTCTTTATGAGAGCCAGGATATTATGGATTTCATGTGGTAGCAGGGTCTCACCACAGAATCAATGTGTGTCTGTGTGAAAGCCCAAGCCTTGCCTTCACAGCCTTGTTTTTTTCTGTGCAGTTAACCTGAGATACTCAGGAAACACGCTGGCATGCAACTTACCTGCCCTGCAATCACACTAACATATCTGTGAACAATGAGGCATCTAACAGCATCACGAATAAATGCAGACTTTTGTGCAGGGCATAGAGCACTGCACAGTGAATGCCAGTCTTCAGCTGGCTGAATAAACTTTGCCCTATCACACACCCTATGCTCCTTAAGGTGCAGCCCTGAGTCTGCTCCCTGGTGGTTCAGCCAAAGGCTACAATAAAGAAGGCTATGACAACAGCATTCACTTGAGTACACCCAACCACCTGACCATCTACCCTTAAAAACGACTTTTCTAGCCAGAAGTTAGTGGCTTATGCCTGTAATTCTACCTACTCAGCAGGCAGAGATCTGAGGATCTTGCTTCCATGCCAGTCTAGGCAAATAAATCTGAACTATAAGTGGAGGTATGGCTCAAGTGGTAGAGTGCCAAGCCTTGAGCAGAAAAAAAAAACTAAGGGAGAGTGCAAGGCCTTGAGTCTAAGCTCTTATCCTGGTATACACACACACGTGTGTGCATGCACGCACACACACACACACACACACACACACACACACACACACACACACATCTTCTCTGTTCAGGACTGTGCTGTCACTGTCACATTGACAATGCCTGCCAACCTTTAACTCATACCCTATATTCAATAACCACACTGGCTTGGGTCTCCCTTCTACCTATCTAAAAGTGTGTAAGCTCTCTGTGCTTAAAAAGTATCTAGGAGTTGGGGCTGGGAAGGTGGCTCAGTGGCTGAGCCCTTGCCTTGCATGCCTGAGGCCCTGGTTCGATTCCTCAGCACCACATAAGCAAAAAGAAAAAAAGCCGGAAGTGGCACTGTGGCTCAAGTGGTAGAGCACTAGCCTTGAGCTGAAGAGCTGAGGGACAGTGCCCAGGCCCAGAGTTCAGGCCCCACAACTGGACCCCCCCCCCAAAAAAAAGTATCTAGGAGCTTCCAAAAGTTCTGCTGCTCTGGCCCCACCTGTAACCCATGTCAAATCTCTGAGAGATTCAATATTGAATCAGGGTATACGAATTTGGTGAAATCTCCCAGTATGGTCTGATTGCAAGGTACAGCCACAGATCAGATCCCTGAGTCTCTTTTTGTCCCCCATACGGTATGAATTTATACTTACACAGGTGAGTTAGAACCCACTCTTCAATGCTCAGAGTCTCCAAGTTGGCTCCAAGTGACCTGTTGCTCAATGATGTGGCTATTCTTTAGGCCTTCTAATCATGCAGAGGGACCTGGCCTCCCAGATCTTAACTCAGGAGAGTCCCTTATTTTGCCTTGTGGCTCCTGAAGCTGGTGGAGAAATGATTTACCCTGCCTCTCACCATGTGGTAGAGCACAGAGAGCACTAAAAACTCCAGAGGAAAAAAAAATTCAAATTCTTAAGATTTCTAGAGTTAGAGAGGCAGAGGGCTAGGGTGGGGAGATGAGTCTAATAATAGGAATTTCATCTCCAATCTCATAGAGTGTTCATCATTTGTTGACATAATTCATGAGAATGCACATGTCTTTCTGCTTAAACAGTAAAAAATAAAAACATAGCAAGAACAAAGAAGAAAGTGTTTTTTATGGAAACAAAGGAACCCACTCACTCTGCAAACATATTGGCTTCGTGCTCCAGGAGAGAAAGTCTGCGAGCGAACGATGGTGCTACTCCGAACAAAGGGCGAGCCTCGGACCCGACGGCTAGGCCGCTCCTTTATAATGCTCATGGCTTCTTCTGGGAAGAGATCTTCTGTGGTGGTTTCCTTGTCAACCTAGAAAGGGGGTTATTCATTACTGTGAATCCTTCTATAGTACAAGTGGTACATGCAATGTGAACAAGCATCTCTCTGACATTTCTCCTGACTAAATTGGCAGTTTGTGTCTACTATGTCCAAATGGAATGGTTAAGATTCCTGTTCCCCTTACACACACACACACACACACACACACACACACACACACACACACACACACACACACACACACACACACACACCCACCAGGAGGGGCTGTTACGAGTATCTCAATTTTCTTTTTTGTTCACAGAAAATTATCTTAGTGTCATTCTGGACTCCATTTTCTTTCACATATCCTATTTCTAACCTAAGGGAAAATCCTGTTGGCTTTTTACTCAAGATGAAGTCGATCTTGACCACTTGTTACCAATCTTTCATCTTAGTCACTATTATTTCCTGACCAGATTAGAGCAAGGAGCATCTTGCCTGTGTCCCCAACTGCATGTTACCTTGCCCTTTCCATCTGTTCTCAACACAACAGGGAGCTCTGGGGAAACTTATGCAAGCTAGGACAGCACTCAGATGAACTAAAAACAGGCACTCAAACACATGCCTGCACACAGATGTTTGTGGCAGCACAATTCAGAGACAAAAGACAGGAGCAGCTAAATGTCCACAGTGGATGAATCCACACAAGGGAATATTATCCAGCCACAAGGAAGACTGAAGTGTTGACATACGCTATAGTATGGAAGCACAGTGAAAATGCTATGTTGAGTGAAATACGCCAGCCACAAAAGACCACATCTTATGTGACTTCAATTTACATGAAACACACAGAATAGGAAAATCTACAGAAAGAAAAATCAATTTTGGTTATCACCAGGGCCATGGGGTGGAGGAGTGAGTGTTCCATGGATGTAGATTTTTGCTTTGAGTGATAAAAATCCTGTGCATAGAGAGAGTAGATGCACAACATTATGACTGTATTAGATGCCACTGAATTATTCGTTTTAACATGGTTATATTATCTGAATTTTATCTCACTAGCTTTCAAAGGAAAACCTTAAGTCAGATCACATCATCACTGGCTTCAACCATCTACCAGATTCCATGCCTCTCAGAGAAAAGTCAGGTTCCTAAGTGGGTTATGCACCCTATTACCCTTTGGCTTCCTCTGCCCTCAGATTAAAGAATCCCCTTTCGTCCCACTAGACTTTATCTTCCTTGCTCTTTGGCAAAGCCTCCATGAGTTATCTTTAAGTGTGGTTAATAAAAAATTCACCATACTAACCATTTTAAGAGTACAGTTCAGGAGTATTAAGTATATAACAGATCTCCACAAGTTTACCTTGCAAAACTGAAACTCTACCATTATTAAACAATAACCCCCCTACCCACATTCTTTTTCCCCAACTTCTGGTGATCACCATTCTATTTTCTGTGTCTGTGAATTTTACTATTCCAGGTACCTCACGTGAGTGGAATCATATAATGGGAGTCCACTCTCCATATTGCAGTTTCTGCATCTGTGAATTCAAGCAACTGGAGATAAAAAATATTTAACAAAAAAAATTCCAGAAAGTTTCAAAGAGCAAAACTTGAACTTGTCTTACTGAACCCCATGCTACATCCATGTGAGTGGGGTGATACACACACTGCTATAGCCTCCCAACATGTGACAGATCTTCAGTCCCTCTTTAGCACTCATTTGAGCATTATTTGCTGTAAAATGTTCAAAGGTAGCAATTCCTGGTAGCCTGCTCAAAAATAACTACTGCAAAAGTGCTGTATGGGCTGCACTGGTAAGCTGACAGGTGGTAAATCTGTGCCTGGTTTTTCAGGGTGAGGTGAAGGGCCATGTGATAGCATGTTTTTGTGTACAAACAGTTTGGGTAATAAAGTTTCAACAGAGCACTAATATAATGCCAACCAAAAGCAACAAATCAGCCAGGCGACACACACCTGTAATCCTAGCTACTCAGGAAGCTGAGATCTGAAGATTGTCATTCAAAGCTGGCTGGAGCAGGAAAGTCTGAGATTCTTTTTTTTTTTTTGGGGGGGGGGGTCCGGTCGTGGGGCCTGAACTCTGGGCCTGCACGCTGTCCCTCAGCTCTTCAGCTCAAGGCTAGCGCTCTACCACTTGAGCCACAGCGCCACTTCCAGCTTTTTTCTTTTTGCTTATGTGGTGCTGAGGAATCGAACCCAGGGCCTCAGGCATGCAAGGCAAGCGCTCTACCACTGAGCCACCTTCCCAGCCCAAGTCTGAGATTCTTTTTTTTGGGGGGGGGGGGTCCAGTTGTGGGGCCTGAACTCTGGGCCTGGGCGCTGTCCCTCAGCTCTTCAGCTCAAGGCTAGTACTCTACCACTTGAGCCACAGCGCCACTTCCGGCTTTTTTTTTTCCTTATGTGGTGCTGAGGAATCAAACCCAGGGCCTCGAACATGCAAGGCAAGTGCTCTACCACTGAGCCACTTCCCAGCCCCCAAGTCTGAGATTCTTATCTCTAATTAACCACCAGAAAAAACAGAAGTGGCACTGTGACTCAAGTGGTAGAGCACTAGCCTTGAGTGAGGGGCGGGGAAGCTCAGGGACAGCACCCAGGCCCTGAGCTTAAGCCTCACAACTGACAAAACAAACAAACAAATACCAATCCCCCCCCAAGAAAAACTAATCAGATGGCAACAGGGACAAAAACGTATTCTGTATTCTTCATGTTACAATGGGAAAAAGAGTATTGAGAAACATTACTTCCTCAAACCTTTGGGACCCAGGAAACTGCTTGAGACTTTTTGTCCCTAAATATAGGAAAGGATCTTCACAAAATAGCATAGGAAAGATTGAAACCCTACCTTTTCACTGTAGCTCTTTTTTCCTTGCAATCTAGAGTTGATGACTATTTCAATAGTACATGCTGTGTCCATGTCAAGCCATTTACAGATCTTTCCCTCAGCTTGCAGTAAAATATAGCTTTAAGTTAGGTACAGCCCCCAAATCCAACAGCATTATTCACTTTATACCACAGTTCCCCATATTCCACAACATCTACATAGCCACGTGGCTGCTGGTCAGCATGCCTTTCTACTAGATGTGAACCCAGTGGCTCCAACAGGCTTCCTGTAGGGCCTGTCCATTGCCACTGCTTTCACATTTCCCATGATGTGTATGGAGACACATGCCCCTCTAGGGCTGGCCTAGTCCTGTACATTCAAATACCAGTAGCTCCACAAGATCTTGTGATGTCTTCTGCTTACCTTTAGTGGCGGTGTCTGAAGTTTCACAGGGTTGTAAGGATCGGCCAGGCCAGCAAATGTGTGTCCGTGGATGGAGTCGACACCAACACAACAGGGCTCTGGGTACGAGGGGCTGGTCTGGGTGCAGTTGCTACAGCCACTGTCAACTGAGTCAGCCTGCCAACTCCTACAGACAGACAGTGCAAAAGTCCCCAGAATGTTCAGCAGAAGGAACTTGATTCACGCCTGCTCTCAGAGCATGGTAGCAGAAACCTAATGAGACCTCCCTTCTAATAACTAAAGACAGTTGCTGTTCTCATAAATAAAAGGGTAGTTCTGATTGTAGGGAAGAAAATGCTTGAATCACTTTCAACTAATAGAGTCCTTCTTTACCATCCGTGGGTGTAGCTGCTGAAGGGGCCAGAAACTCCCACATAATGAGCTCCCCACATGGTATCCTCTCCCTCAGCCATGCACCATCTCTCCCTAAAATAAATTCCCCTTTAAACTATATTCAAGGGAACTATATTCAAGAGAAGATGCTGGGAGCTTTGGAAAAATGACACTTTATGGAAAAATGTGCAAGTAATATCAAAGTATGTGCCTCTAGAGAGGGCCAGAGCACCCGGCTAGAGCAACAGCATGTTTGAATTATTTGTCCACTTTGGCGTGTTTGAATTATTTGTCCACTTTGGCATGTTTGAATTATTTGTCCACTTTGAACAGGCTTCTGCAGCCAAGGACTCACCACTGGGCCACCTCAACTAATACCTGAAGGGATGCGCATGATCTCGTCTACAGGAACTAGCCGGAACAGGCAAGTCCACTGAGACAGAGTGGAGTTATGCTTGCTCGTGGCTGGACAGAAGGCAGAACGGGAATGACTGCGAATGGCTAGGGGCGATCTGTCTTTTCAGCATGATGAAAATACCCTATAACTGACAATGGTAACAGTGGCATACTGTTGTGTGACTGTACCAAAAACCACTGGATTATATACTTTTTAAGTGGGCCAACTGTATGGCATGTAGATTAGATCACAATAAAGTGGCTCACAAACTTTAAAGGGAGCTTGTGCTCATTGCTGGTGATTTTCTCATGAAGAGAAAATCTGGACTAGAAGGAAAGGTGTAAACCCCACAAGGAGAATGTGGCTGAGAGTCCAGGGTATTGGCAACTGGCAGATCAGTAGTCGATTTCCTACCAGAATCCTGGCTCCTAAGCAATGGTACCAAAGAATCACCTGGCACATGCTACTGAGGTGTACATGAAAACATCAACTTGCACCCAGAAACCTAGCTTCTTCTGACAGCCATGAGTGACCAACGTTTGTGGCCTTTCCCAGAGTGTTGGAAATATGCCTATTCTCCCTGACACTTTGTAAAGTCTTTTGCCCTTTGCTAGAGAGAGGAAGGTGGCAGGCACTCACCTCTCAGACACAGCTTCAGCCTGCTCCTCCTTCTGCTCTATCTCCAGGATCTCTTCCTCAGTATACTCCAGCTTCACCCGCTCCTCAGCCAGCTCCCTCTCCACTGCTTGCAGCTGAGCTGTGGTTCGGGCCAGCAGCACTGTCACTGCGTCCTGCAAGAGGAAAAGGTTATTGTGAGAACCAGCAAAGCCTCTGACTCCCAGTGGCTAATGGACAGCACTGGCCATACCCCATGGCAAGCATTCATCCCACCTGCTGAGGCCTATCTCAATGGCCCTGCAGGAGGAGAACGTATCATACAGTTCACAGCAAGACACTCTTCAACCTGGTTCTACGGCTCGGGGAGTGTAAATCTGATAACCTATGTGCCTCTTGTGATTAGGAACACATGTACATTGAAAAAAGCATCATCATCAAGTGGCCATATGTGTGGACAAGTTCCACTGTGATTCTTGCTCTTGGAAGTCCATCACTGCCACATTTCACTTGAGGTATACATCGAATCTTCTAGAAATGACTTGTCCAAGCAAAAACCAGTTTGCAAGTCATGAAAGCAGCTACAAAACATGGGCCACGTACCGTCTTTCCCAGGCCAGCAAGTGTGGGGCCCCGTGTAGCACTCTCAGCAACCCGCACAGGTTCCCTCGGCCTTGGGGGCTCCGAGCTGGCAAAGACCTGTACAGAGTACCAGCGCAGCTGCATGTCACTGGAACTGTCACAGTCGGCCAAGTTTATCTGAGCAATGCCCTGTACAGGAGTTAAAAAAGAAAAGCCAGAACAAGCACTGAAGGTCTTCAATTGACAACCAGAATCCCTTAAAAGTTCGCCCTTTAATTGTAAGATATAAAACAGGTTGTTCCTACCAGAAGGATAAAAGTATAGCAAAAGGGGGCCACGGGGGGCCTAAAAGGGGAGTTGGCACTTGCTGACGCAGCACATTCAGAGAGTGCTGAAAAGAGAACAGGGGCAGACAGTGGCAACTGGGGTGCTGAGTGGAGCTCAGGCCTGCGCCAGCTGATGAGACGGTTGTCTCAGGAGACTTGAAATGACAAAGGACTGGCTGAATCTCTACTCCTTAGTTTTCCTACTGTGGGCACATAAAATATGGAGATTCCAAATGTGAAAAGAACCCCACCCCCCCAACTGCCATGTCCTGGCCTCTTTAACAGAGGTCCAGCCCTGGGGTTGTCAGGTAAATACAGGGCATCCTAGTAAATTTGAATTTCAAATAAACGATAGAGATTTTAGTATAGGTAAGTCTCAAATATTGCATGCAACATATTTGTACTAAAATATGCCCATGATTCCTTTGAGATTCAAATTGAACTGGACACTCTATATTTCTATTTGTTCCTTGACTTACAGCGGAGATAATATGGACGCCACCTCATGGAGGGCACGAGTGTTGATTAGACAATACACTTAAAGTACAAACGTCCAACAAGATCACTGGTTTTGCTCATCTCTTTCCATACCCTCAGCCACAGACACCACTAAACATTACAACAGTTTCTAAGCAGAGACAGGGACAATAGAAAAGAGACGAAGGGAGGAAGGCAAAAAAGACAAAGACAGTAACTAAGGAAGAAAATGACAAGGACTAGGGGCATGGCTCAAATTGTAGGGTGCTTGCATGCAAGGCCGTAAGATCAAGTCCCAGTACTGCCAAAAAAAAAAAAAAAAAAAAAGGAAAATTACAAAGGAATAAAGAAAGGAGGAAGGGAAGGAAGGGAAGGGAAGGGAGGAAGGTAGGTAGAGAGGGAGGGAGGGAAGGAGAGAAGGAAAGAGAGGGAGGGAGGGGAGGGAGAGGAGAGAAGGAAGGAAGGAAGGAAGGAAGGAAGGAAGGAAGGAAGGAAGGAAGGAAGGAAGGAAGGAAGGAAGGAAGGAAGGAAGGAAGGAAGGAAAGAAGGAAGTGAGGAAGGGGGAAGGGAGGGAGGGGGAAAGAAAGAGGGAAGGAGGGAGGGAGGGAAGACAGACCAAAGAAGAAGAAGGAAAACAAAGAAAGAGGCGGGAGAAAGGAGGGCGCTGTGTGAGCGCACGGGCCCTGGCGCCATACCAGCAGTTCTTCCTGCAGCTGCAGATTCACTGAACACACATATAACTGAAGTGACTTCAACGTCAACATGCTGGAATGCACAGGGATTCTGAACACTTCATTAAACACCAGCGGGGCTTGGAATTCCAGAGCCTTCGAGCAGTAGGTGTTGGGAGTGCCAGAGTCGAGCGGGGGCAGGTAGACACGGATGTGGCTGGGAGGAGGGGGGAGGAGAAACGTTGGCCGGCAGCGTGGACTGACGTGCTTACTGACACGACGCCAGTGCGCACCCATGCATGTTGCCCTCTATACAGAATCCAAGAGGCAAACGTCAGAGTCCTTTGGAAAAAAGTCCCTTTATCAACTGAGAGTAAGTCCAAAGGGCCCTTGTGCCCCTGGACCCGGGAGGGAGGAGGCGTTACTTTCCTAGAGAACCACTTGGAGGCCAGTCTTGAAGACTGGGGGCCCGGAAGTTCTGCTGGACACTATGTTTTGGCAAGAGCTCATTGGACCTCCGGAGCCTCACAGCTTCACTGCCAAGTTGTCAGCCCATCACCCACCAGGCACTACCATGTTCCTGCACTCTCCACCCTCAGCCTGGGACTCCTTATACAGCAGGGAGGTCTCACACGTTAGGGATCACTGCAACATCTATCAGCAGAGTGAGCCCAATCCCAGGATGGATCCCTAGCCACTTGCACCAGATTGTTTCTAAGGCTTTTGTAGAAGGCTAGTTCACAAACATTCTTGGCTAGGGGTCCACATTGGACTTGAATGCATCGTTAGTGGCATAGTTGCCCACCTTGGTGAGTGGGGCCCTTCATTCGGGACCCACCCAGAGCTACTGAACAGAGGGAGGCAGCGGTCCTATGATGGAGGCTAAGGCTACCAGGTGACTCCAAGTGGTCCCAACTACATTTCCTGCCCTCTTCTCTAGCCAAGGCCGCCCGAATCCCAACTTTAGGCCTCTTAGTGCACACTAGATCACAAAGTGGACCCACACCATTACCACCCATCTCTGGACCCAAGAAAACAGCCTAAGCCCCAGCTGGGTCAATGACAAGCATTTCCTAAACATCAACACAGTAGATCATAGGCTTGGTGCTATTAATTTCTTTTGCTTCTTAGCTAATTAATTAGGTTCTTTTCTTTAAAGTATGCTCCTTTATACTTCAGACAGACATTGTCTGGTATTGTATTGTAAGTTTCAGTTCCTATACTGTCTTTCTCTCCCCACATCTGAGCAGACTAGGTGAGCCATCTTGTATGAAGGGCCTGACGAAGGCTATTGCTAGCTCTACAGAACCCCCAGATCCTTGAGCCCAGGAGCTTACATCTTGCACTCTTCTTTTATGAGCAGTCCAGCAAAATTTCTCAGTTGTAGAACATGCACAAGGAGACATTCGTTGGCACTGTCATACCTAGAAAATAAAGCCCAAGTTTGTGGACCGTGAATTTCCCATGGAGGAAAGTCTCTCTGGACTACAAGCAGGCCTATCAACCGAGGGGCATTTTGCCCCATCCCATCCCTAGGAGACAAGTACCATGTCTGAACACATTTTTACTGACACAACTAGAGGAGAAGGGGTGCCATGGCACTTAGTGGGTAAGAGGCTACTGAACGCCCTACAATGTATAAGAGTGACCCCCATAGCAAAGAACAGGCTGGTTCTGATGTCAACAGTGTCAACACTTAGAAACCACTACTGAAATAACGAGAGTGAGCCCAATTAAACAACGGGAATCTGAAGATCCTGCCCTGCCAGCACGAACACTACAGCTACTGCCTTCACAGAAACTAAATCAGAAACCAAAGAGTGCTGTTCTGGAAACCCTCTGGTTACTTATTCTGGGAATAAGGAAAAACCCTGCTACCTGTGTTGTAGCCAATACAACTCCTGGCAGAAATGTGTGAAATGCCTCCATTTTGCTGGACTTCAAAGGAGCTTACAATAGCCCTGAGTCATAGCCCTCAAATCCTCAACTCCCAAGAGTGACAGTCCTCAGCTGTGAATGCCACTGCTCAATGACAGCAACATAGCCACTTTCCCCTCTCATTCCTCTTCTCTGCCTGTTATCTCACCTGAGACCAGCCAAAATGAGACTGTCACTAACAAGAATGAGGGAGCAGCATGTGGGTCATGGGGTCCCTCCACTCCTCCTTGCCTATACATGGAAGTAGGACACATAGGCAGGCCATAATCAGCAGGATAGCCTTAAAGCTGAGCTTTAAGGACTAAGGGTGTTAAGGTCCAGGAAGCAGCACTCGGGCAGGCCCAAACTGGAAGGCATCTTTAATATCAACAGAAAAGGCAGCTTCTGTACTCACAAAAATCCTACGTGGATCTGGGGATCATTGCTACTGCACATGTCTCCAAAAGCAGACTCTTCAGTGTCTTCATTCCTGAACACAATCAGAAATTCACCAGGGTTGAGTCCAAAGGGAAGTGCTCACTGTAGGTTATGCAGAAATACTTTCATGCTGAGAGCAGTGAGTTTCATCTTATTGTGATGTTAAGAAATAATTTCATTAAGTGGCTGAAAGGATCCATAGAGTACCATAGGTACCATGGGTACCTGCTCACAAACTGCTCTTCTTATTTATGCTGTTTTTGGTTTCTGTTTTGTTTTCAAAAATAGCTGTATAATTTTCAAAATCCCGGATGATATTCAGGGCAATGTTCAAACATGAACTTTAAAAATCGTTTGCAAAGTCGGAAATATCTTACAGATAACTGAGATTTACAAAGAAACAATGATGTCAAAGGCATTCAATCAGGACTGGCCAGGGTCGTGGCTCCAGTGGTAGGGAGCCTGCCTGGCAATCCAAAGGCCCTATACTTCCCCCCCAAATTGAAGGGGGAGCTTGAGCTCAGTGGTACAATACTTGCTCAGCATATGCAAAACCGGGTTGAGTGGTTTTTTTTTTTTTTTTTCATTATAACAGGGCTCCTAAAGCCAAAGAAAAAGGAGAGAAAGGAAATTCATTTTCTATGGAATATCTTTTTCAGAAAAGCAGGTCACTTTTGTGTATATGCTGATTCTTCTTTTTTCAGCTCTATCGGACATAAGCTTTAACCCACAGCACGCAAAGGAAAAAGAAGTCATTCTAGAACAATGACCTCTAAAAACTACACGGAAACCAGAAGAGTTTTCTTCACAAATTACTAAGGCCCACCCTACCAAAGATGAAAAAAAAGCAAGGAAAACATTCCATCCTGGATACACAAAGTTTCCAGAAGACCATTTTTGTGCACAATACTAATGCTGTGGTAAGTTGGCTTAAGGAGAAAGAAAATCCACTACTCACCTTTTGCTTAGAGGTTCAAAGACTCCGCTATCACTGGCTAACGAGTAATCAGATAGGCAAGCAGAGACCCGGCGCGCTCTCCTCTCCAACCTCTTTGCACTGTCTTCCCGGAGTGTCACTGCTGCAAACAAGGGACAAATCTGATAAGGACAGGACAGCAGTAGAGGCCCTATGGCAAAACACCATTAAGTTACTAAGTGCTTCAGAAACATACCATGATATGTACATGCAAATGAACACCATGAAGATGATCTTTAACATTAAAAAAGGAGAAGAAACAGACTGGCTATTTCTTGCTTCTTGAGGTAGGGTTGCATCTTTCATTTGTTGAGATAGGATCTCACTATGTAGTCCAGGATGGCCTTCAACTTGTAATCCTCCTGCCTCAGCCTCCAGAGTGCTGGGATTATAAGCATGTGTCAGCTTTGAACTTCTTTAAAAGCTCTTAAGCTGTCTAGACAGACACACGGGCTCATACCTCTTTTCACTCCTTTAATGAGCACTCAGAACATAAGATGGCAGTGGGAAGTTCCTTCAAATTGCACTTTAGAAAGACTCATATCCAAAAGAACAGCAGTTATGCTCTCTGAGGGATGGTACCTTCCATTTCCCTTCTTCATGCTATCTGGTATTTACCTTTTCCCCGCATTTTTATTAGTATCAATTGGTTGCACAAGGGGTTTCATTCTGACATATGCATATATGCATACGATGTACCTTGATCACATTCATTTCCTCCATCATTCTTCCTCATTCCCCTCCTTCCTTCCCAATCAAGTGTCAACAAACTTCATTGTTCCATTAACATACCTGTACATACCTGACCACATGCAACCTCCTTTACCCTCTTGATTCACCCTTCTCTCTCTAATTAGTACCTACATTCCAGGCAGCACCTGTCTTATATTCATGTCATTCATTCTTTTACAGTTAGAATACTAGCATCCCTTCTATTTTTTATTTCATATTTATTTTAATCAAGAGTTAGAGACAATCATTATGTTTTTCCTTTCTAATGTTTCCTTAACTATTTTTACCCCTTCCTTCATGGCAATGACTTTTTAAGTAAAACTAATAAAATATGTATACAGTGTTTCTATGTTAAATGTTATTGCATACACAGGAATCTCAATGTTTCCTAGAAAAGCATATATGGTTAAATTACAGAACTGAGCACAGCAATGCCATCACAACGCCTCCTGGTTTTTGTTTTTGTAGGTTGTGGGGCTTGAACTCTGGGCCTGGATGCTGTCCCTCAGCTCTTCAGCTCAAGGCCAATATTCTACCACTTGAGCCACAGCGCCTCTTCTAGTTTTCTGGTGGTTCACTGGAGATAAGAGTCTCACAGACTTTCTTGGCTGGGCTGGCTTTGGATCATGATCCTCAGATCTCAGCCTCCTTAGTAGCTAGGATTACAGGTGTGAGCCACCTGCGCCTAGCCATCACAATACCTCTTAAATAACATAGGTCCCTCTATTGCCTTTATACATTTCTTTGGTTATCTAAGCTCTATTAAATTTAAAATCCTAATCTCTGTGCATTCCTACGTTGAGGGAAATCATGAGTCCAAAGGTGACCATCTCTCTTTTCAACCAAATTATTATCCACATCAATTAAATACAAACATGTCAAAGAGCATACAAAACACAAAAGGACATGGCCATTAGTCTCTTGATATCAACTGGAGACAAACACTAGCCTTCCAAAGATCTTCAATGTCAAGCCTGGGGTTATCATCTATAGTCATCAGCCAGGGATGAATCTGGCTCTATCCTAAGGTGGCCAGAGGTATTGACTCTCAGATTGTACCCTTGACTTCAACATCTAGCTCTTTTCTTCAGCCCTGCCATATGAAAGGGCCTATAAATAGATCTTTGGTGTGTGTCTCCACGCTGAAGACCTCTAACAAGTAAAATCTATCCCCTATGTCCATTCTCAGCTCTGATAGCCACTGAGAATACAAGGTAACAGCTCTGGGTAACAGTCCCATAGGATAGACACTTTCAGGTAGTACTATCCTATGGTGCAATTCTGACCAAATTCCTCTCATCATCACAATGGGAGATCATGAAAAGAAAAGGGAAATGAAGGAACTAATCCTCATGGAACCCATGCTGAGTCAGTAAATCTAGAAAGCAAGAATCCCTAGGAGGAAGGACTTATGGCAATTGTCCGGGGTGAGAAAAAAAGCCACAGTGACACCCCACACAATATACCTGAGATGTCTACTCCTGGGCTTCTAGGAAATGGGGTTAACTGGGGTAAGCAATGCCAATGAAGTAGGGGTAAGCAATGCAACAAAGTAAAGGAGAAAAATTCTACTTGTTCATTTTTTAAACTTGTTACTTTTTTCAAATCATAAAACAGACACTGAAACCCGAGGACATGAACAGTGCTTGCTAAAAAGGAAGGAAATACAATGAAAACTATATTGGGGCCAAAGCTTCCAGATGCTACATTAAAGTAATAAGTGCTATTAAATATTGGAAAAAGTACACATGGGGAATAAATACTGAAAGCTTTTCAGAAAAGTTTTTCAAGGACTTTGTAGCCCCCATGACCATAAATAATGATAACAACAATCAATAAGCTACTCTGCACCCGGCACCCATCCTAAACATGGATTCACCATATGAAGATGTTCCCATGCCCAGAGCCTGAGCAACAAAGGGGAACAGAGAGAATTCCAAGGCCACTTACAGTGGATCTTTCAGTGGAGCCGCATGGAAAAAGAGACATAAGAAAAGCACAAAGTGAAAAACCTTCAAGACTTAAGTCAGTAATTTCAACGTAAAAATACAATAAAAGCATCAATAGATTAGTCTAATCAAGATGTTTTGGGTTTTAATCAGCAAATATTAATGGTCAGATTAAAACTGGAAAATACTACAAAATCACAACATAAATTGGACTTTCAAAATCCAGGGAAGATAGAACTGTTAAAGATGTTCAAGACTATAGTCTATCTCTCCACTTCTGCCCCCACCTTCTGTCCATCTGATTGATTTAAAACACAGTGGAAGAAATCATTGCCTTGTGGGTTTGTGCAATTGAGATTCTGGAGCAAAACTTAAAAGACTGCACTGTTTGTAGCAAGATTGAAAAGGTAGTAGGAACAGCATGACCTTGAGCATGGAAAAGGAGTAGGGTAATATGATGAACGTCAAGCTCTATCTTTATGAAGCCATGAGAACTCTGGGCTCAAAAGTTCCCAAAGCACCACAGGATACTGGGAGTCCTACTGGGTCCGAAGCAGGTTAGGGACCCAACAAGACCAAGAAACCAATTTGGTCCATTATTTCAAGTTTCTTTAAGACACGTCAGCTGATAATGACATGTAAGAATCTACAACCAGGTGGGAGTATCTAAACAGCGATTGTTCACATATGGCAGTAACTGCCACAGAGTAAGGGGGAAAACTAAAGAAACTACAGTCAGAAATTAGATCTGTTCTTTTCCCTTCCACCCTGGCTTTGCCCTGGCCCAAAGGGGCCCTCTGTAGGTTCTCTACATACATAAGCAGACTGCTATTCTTGGACCCCAATCTTGAAGGAGAACTTGGTAGATGGAGAGAAAGGGAGACAGATAAAAAGTTTAAGCAACACTAGACATCCAAATCAGGCCTTACTATGTATTTTCATTTCTGAATGAAAGGAATAAACATGGAACAAAGAATCCATGATTGTAAAGAAGAACAAAGGGAATGAAGGTTACTTATATGTGTGAATTATAGAAACAAAGTGTCTGAGGATGTAAAACTGTGTTTGCAAATACAGAGGGGGAAGATGCTAAATCAGCAGTGTTACAAAAAAGTCATGGGGACAGCCCAAAACATAATGATTTCTGGTTAAACATGCAAATGGTAGAATACTACTATTTCAGGTCTACCTTCCCATCTATCAAATGGTCTATTCCATAGGCAATAGAATAGTGGTGAATGGAAGAGACTATACAATCACCTTGTTCAAGGGCAGGGAAGATGAGACAGCACAAGACCACACGACCAGAAGTCAGCATGACATGCAACAGACTCTTAGCCTCTAAGCTGCTGATCTGAAGCTATTTCTACGACACCACACTGCTTTTATAGTCTAGTTTTATTTTTCACCCTTTGCTGCATAGTCAACAGTATGCTTTTGGGTTTCCTGGCCTCTGTACTACTGGCATTGGGGATAGATCATGCTTTGTTGTGGGGGCTGCACTGCGCACTGCAGGATATTCAGAAGCCTCCCTGGCCTCTTGCCACTAGATGCCAGGAGTGTTCTGCCCCCTCTAGTTGTGGCACCAAAAAAATGTCTCCAGATATTGCCAAATTTGCCCTAGAGGAGCAGGGAAAGATCCATGATGCTTTTTTATAAATCATCTACTTCTTGCCTAAATGGAATGTGTAAGAACATTTTTTCGGTGCAAATAAGTTAATTAAATAGGCTGAAATTCAGGAATGGGAGACCTTTTTCTCAGTGTTGTTTAAAACCTAAGGAACCTAAGTGGTAGGGGTCAATATTCTCCCAAACTGCAGCCTAGCATCAAGGAGTTGCTGAATGAACAAGCCGAAGCAGATTTCTGCAGCCAAGCAGTTCTCCATTTGTAAGGCCACCAGAAAAATGGATTTGGTAGAAATGACTGATTCTTCAGTTACTGTCATTTCCACATTTGGTGGAATTACATCCTTAGAAACTACTAGGACACATGGATAAAGAGAAAAAGTCAAAGTGGCAAGAAAATGCAGAGCTCCTCTTGGGGTACAACCAGATACTAGTCTACCTGTTGGTATGGTGAGGCCATACACAGAATGTTCTTGACGTACTCTCCAGAGCATGCAGAGACCCTAGTACTTCTCTGCCATCTTCTGAATGTGGAAGATTATATGGTTATTACCTTCATTTTTAATCATCAAGCACATTCTAAAAACAAGCTAACAGCCTAAGAAAGACCACTTTGTCAATGTCAATTATCTTTCCCAAAAGACAGGAGAGACTGGAGTAGATCAGACACTTCGTAGCCCTACCAAGCTTCTTAAACTATCAGCCAATCTCAGGACATGAAAAGCTACCGGCTTCAATGCCACTGCCCATGACTTCTCCCTGCATTTCAAACCTTGCTTCCCAAGAAGTCTCACCACCACTTACTTCCACTGGTGGGGGCACTGGACATTTGGGGTCCCCGTTCACGAGGTCCTTCCCCGTCCGCAGAGAATCCATGTGGCTGAAGCGACACTGTACCCTGCAAGTCTTCATCTCCTAAAGCAGAGGCCTGTGCTCGCAGTCTGTCCAGGGAGCCCAGGCCTGGCACCTCAAAGCCATCTGCCAACTGTGCCAGAGGAGAGTCTCGTGAAGCTGGGAGGAAGGGTGTGTCCAAGGGAGAGCTGGGGGGTGACAGGGAAGACAGGGAGGAGCGGGAGGACAGTGACGCTAGGGACTGGGGAGTGTCCAGAGATCGCCTCTGTTTGTGGAAGCCTGAGTGGCCCGGTGGGTCTGAGAAGGGGACATCTCGTCCCAGAGAATCAAAGGGAATGAGATCAAAGCGCAGAAGCTGGCCACATTCGGCGTCGGCCTTCTCGTACTGTGGAAGGCCATAGATGTCTGTGAAGCTGACTGAGCTCAGAGAACCACGGCTGGAAGCCAGAGAACCCCGGCTGGAGGCCAGCGAGCCACGGCTACTCCCAGAGGACACCGTCAGGGTGCTGGCAGACAGGCTGAAACGAGAGAGCCAAAACCTTAAAAACACGTGCTACTGATACTCAGAACAGTTGCCAGCCTCGTTCTCCCCAGAACGGAGCAGGGCTTAACCCCTGGCAGTATGAGCAGACCTTGGTTGGTATGTCTTCTGAATGACGCTAGGGGGCAGTGAGCAATAATAACAAAGCCTCCTGCCTGAGTTGGAGTTCAGGCTCAACAGCATACCAGTGTAATCAGCCTCCCACTTGCTCGCTGGAGACTTGGGGAATAACAAATCCTACCTCCTTGCACTGTTAGGGGTAACTGAGAGAGTAATTCAAATGAAGTCCTTAACATTATGACTATAATACAGCAAATACTTACAAAGATGACCTACTGTACTGCATCCAGATTTCACTTGAAAGTATTTAAACCCCTTAAAAAATCCAAAGTAAAAAAGTCTATGCTGCATAGGTGGACACTTCTGATACTGTCAATGAGATTACAAAATCTTTCTACAAACTTGGCTTCCGATTTATTTATTCTCTGTTTTGTTTCTTTGAGGCAGGGTCTCACTATATACTCCAAGCTAGCTTTGAACTCATGATCCTCCTGAGTTAGTTTCTCTAGTGCTGGGATTATACTACCAACTTCTGGCTCAGACTTTTTAACCCTGAAGCAAATTTGGTTCCCCTCATTTTCCTTTTTTTATTAGCTTGCATTAGTTATAGAGGGGGAAGGTCTTGTTTTCCTTTAGTCATACGTTAGCAAGTTATCTTAAAAAACAACAACAACAAAAACCACCTCAGGTTCCGAGCTCCCAGTAGGAGAAAAGTTCAAGCTAAAGAGCATTATAAAGTTAATGCGCATGTCACTGCAGCGTGATAATTGAGTATAATTTTTTTGTAAAGTAACCTACCTTTTATTTCCTAATTGTTATTACATTAGTGATGTACAAAGGGGTTACAGTTGCATATGTCAGGTAAGGAGCACATTTCTTTTTGGACAATGCCACCCCTTCCCTCGCTCTCTCCCAGTTTTCCCCTCCTGTCGCCACCCACAAGTTGTATATTTCATCTTCCACACAGTGTCTAGTGAGTACCACTGCTGCCTTTGCTCATCCTTTGTCCCTCCACTTCTGTGTCCCCCTTACTCTCCCCAAAACAAATAAATGAGCAAACAAGACAAAAGAAAACAACAACAACAACAAAGAAAAAAGCCTTTTGTTTCCACTTCCTGGACTTCCTTTTGCTAAATATTATTTTATATGATCAGAGGCACATAGGCATTGCGCTTTAACCTACCTTTTTAACTGAGACTGGAGATAGGATGTTAAGCGGGTAGCTTCCTCCAGCTGCATAAGCAGACAATTTCTTTTTTCCTGAAGGAGAATCCTGTACATACAAAAATAGTTCTTTGGTGAGTTCAAAAGGCAAGGAGTATATTTTCATAACAAGAAATTCAACTGTAGATTCCCCCCAAATGGTTTAGGTTGGAATGCTTATCAATTCTACAAGTGTATAGAGCGTAAGTGCCAAGATAAGATTGCTTTGTCTTACTTGAAAAATCCAATCCTGGCACTTGAAGCAGTGCCTAGTTCAAGTAGATGCTTGAACAGTGGATGAATAGGAGGATGAATGGGTGCGTGGGTGGGTAAGTGAAAGAGTGGATGAGTGGACAATATGGCCATATGAACTGGGTGGGTTGGGTGAGTGGATGGATGGAAAGGTGAGTGGTTAGAAGAGACAGAATAATAGGAAACTAGACTAGAATCTGGATTCAAGTGCATAGCATGTATTCAACTGATGGGATTCCTTAAAATAAATCCATTCCCTCATCCTATGCCCCATTCTAGACAAAAACAATGTAAAGCTCTGCTGACTTTATCATAAAATAGGCTCTACCACTGTGGCTTGAGTGGGCCACAATATTTTCCAGTCAAATATTTTCATAACCAGGGCTACTATATAACTGATTTTAAATGTGAATAGCATATATTAAAATTCATGTTTTTTCCCATCAGGAGATTGCCAGTACTCCCTCAGCGATCTTATGTAGTCCCCTCTTTCCCAACTGCATTTCCTCAAGCAGCCAGATTACCTTCATATGTTTACCAAAAACGGCATACTGTGTGACAACAGGTCAAATGCTCAAACAGCTGCTTTCTAGAAAGTCAAACTTAAAAGTTTATAAAAATGTTAAATAATACCACTCCTCACTATTTTGTTTCAAAAAAGTAATCAGTCATAAAAGTGTTATATATGTATGTATGGTTTTGTGTGTGTGTGTGTGTGTGGTGGTGTATACATATGACTCAAGTGGCAGAACACCAGCTTAGCAAACACAAGACCCCAAGTTCAAATCCCAGTACTGGAGCTTCCTGGCTAGAAATCAAAGTCAGTGATAAAAGCAGTAAGTAGGGAGAATTCTCCAAGGCAACAACTGCCACCCATCTCGGTTCTTGCCAATACCCCCAAGCCTGTCTAGAGTGTGTGGCCCACAAACACAGGCAAAAGCACCAAGCATCTATGCCAGGAAGAGTGCAATGGAGAAGAGGTGTCACCTGTCTCTCCTCTCTCTCTCTTCTCCATCATCTTTTACTTCTGACCAGGCACCAAGAGCCTCAGAACCTTGGGGAGCAGCTACCACCTCACATGGCGCAGAAGGCATGTGCTCCTATTTCCCTTCTACTTGCCAAGGAGATGTGCCAGGAAGTAGCTGCTCTCAGGAAAAGTGAAGCACCTTAAGCTCAAATTTTAAAATCCAAAATCCTGGTGAATCCCAACATTTCTGATCACTCGCATGGCACTTAGAAGTTTTGAATCTGGGCCAAATGCAGTGGCTAAGGCTTGTAATCCTAACTACTCAGGAGGCAGAGGTCAGGGGATCAAAGTTCAAGGCCAGCCCAGGCAAAAAGAAGCTCGTGAGATTACCCAATGTGTGGTCATGGTGGTACTCACCTGGTATTCCAGCTACCCAATGGCTGGGTAAAGAGGCATGTGCCTGTCATCCCCAGCAACACGAGGAAGCACAAGTAGGAGAAGAGAAGCCCATGCTGGCCTGGGCATAAAAAATAACTAGTTGAAAAAGAGGTAGAGGCATGGCTCAAGTGGTAGAGCACCTGCCTTCTAGAAAACAATCACTCTCAAGTATACAAAAAAAGGCTCTGGACTTTGGAGCATTTCAGAGTTTAAAATTTCAGATGAGGAATGTTCAACTGATATGGTCCATGTAAATTTTTTAAAATCTAAAAGAAAATTCCAAACTGAAAACACTTTTGGGCTCATGCCTTTCAGATAAGGAATACTGATCAATCTTCAGTAATCATGGGCATCCTCAAGCCATATACATAGCATCTAGTTAGGTTTTCCAGTTGGCTCTTCACTGGAAGCCAACGTCCCACTTGCCCTTGAACCTCTGGAGAGCAGCCCACCTTTCCGTGGCACCCTGTGCAGATGTGGCTCGTGCACGCTGAATCTCCTCCTCCAGGCGCCTCCTCTCCTCCTCCAATCGGGCCATGTCTTCTGTCGACCTTCGCTGCTGAATGATAAGCTGCAGCTCTTGAAGCAGAGCCTCCTTCTCTTTGATGAGCTGCAGCCGGTCTCTGTCAGCCTCTGCCATGCCTGGCCATGACTCATTAGCAAGCTGAGCCAGCTGCTGCTGAATACTGGAGACTCTGTGTATGTGAGAGAGAGAGAAGGGTAAGGAAGCTACCACCAAACTGAAAAAAAAAAATTAGTTCTCACACGTGCTCTGTACCATCACAGTTTCTATAAACTCACTTTGTTAAATAAATAATGAAGTAATTACACTAACCTTAACAGAATTTGGAAATGATGGGTCATGAAAACAGTGCAAAAGTGCTTTATATAACCTCTCCTAGTCTAAGACTGGAGGCAACAATAATTACCTTGTGTTTAAAAAAAATGGACAAAAAGGCTAGCAGTCCTCAACACACCCACACTCTTTGTCGTTTCAGATTCGTAGTTTTTTACATAATGCCAGAGCAGAGTGGAAAGAAGCTATTCATTTCTCCATGTCCCACAGTCACCCATAGCGAAACACGGACACCAGACATCTAACAGATACTTTAGGCTTTCTGCCCCCTCAGCCATGCCGAAGCACCTTGGAAAAATAACAGAAGAGAGACACACCCACCAATGGGGATTCTGAAAAGAACAGTTGTAAAATGGGTGCTCTACATCTTCTGGTTCTGTGTGTTCCTCCTGCCTCAGAGACCCTGGTCAGATGTGAATGCAATCACCTTGCACGATACTCAACACTAGCCAAGTGCATCAAACAGTGGGCAGATGCATAAACAAATCTAGCAGAGAGTGTGGGTGTTGGCAGAAGACCCTCTGGCCAGATGCAACCCAATCAACCTCACCAAAGGCATCAACACAATCCTCATCTGGGTGTAAAAGTCTCTTGTCACTTCCCAGGCCCCTGAATTTCCAAGTGCTTCCTTGGCAAACAGACTGCACCATTTTTTGTTGTTGTTGTATCATAAAGTGGTGTCGAGTGTAGATTAAGTGAAACAGGCAGGGCTTATGTTTTGAAAGCCTCCTTTAAAGTGGAAGTAGTATGTTTCAAGCTTCTTAAGTAAGGCCCTCATAATGACGAAGGGCTCATTCCAGGTAGAAACTAGGCAGAGAAGCAAGCAATTCCAGACTCAGCTTGACCCCAATGCTGTGGGGATGAAATCTGGCAGAGATGCCTAAGTACACAACCCAAAGACTTCTGAGTTCATAGAGAGCTATGAGAACACGTAAGGTGCAGGAACATTGTTCTAAGGCAACAAAGTGGGGTCCTTGGGACCAGCAACCTCAGCATCACCTGGGAGCTGTTATAAAGGTCACTCTCGGGTCACTTACATATGCTGAATCTAACAGTATAGGTTAGGCTCTGGCAGTCCAGCACTTGACAAACCTTCTGGTGCTTCTGATGCTCACTCAAGCTGGACACATACTGCTCTCAGATAGAGCTGCCTTCTCTGCAGCCCTGCCTGGTCTAAAGGATGCTAACTGGCCTCAGAGGTTTGAGGAGTTTGCATTGGGCTCATTTTAGTGAGGATCAACATCCTCACTAAAACAGAAATGGCAGGTGCATGGCAGGAGAATTCCTGAGATTACACACTGACACTAACCAGGCCTCATTTCCTGCATGCTGGATCCAGCCCTCAGACTCCATCTAAACACTGCGTCCCACACATGCTCCGGAATTGACTGAAGTAGGCCAATCTATTAAACATGGTGTCTCGCACAGTGCCGTGTCAGGCTCTGCCTGATCCACACACAAGCAAAAGGACTTATTAATCTGGTCAGAGGAGGGGACACAAGGAAATCCACAGTCATGAGAAAGAAAGTGTATACAAACTCGAGCTTAAATGTACACATTTCACCCAAGCTCACTTCTCCAAGAATGTAAAGAAACTAGTTGCATGCCAGTAGCTTTTATCGACAAGTTCTTTTCGAACTCGAAGCAATTTCCTGAATATGTGTTGGGAAATGATGCCAAATCATGTCACTGAAAAACTAATGACAGAGCCAGCTGAACAGGGTCAGGAATCCAACTAGGCTTAAGCGTCCACCTATACCAAATTAGTGTAATTAAAATTTATGGCAGTCATATAACTGAAGCCCAAGGAAAATACGTTCCAAGCAGATCCATAAATAACTAGGTGCCAAGTAAGACACTATACCCAATGAAGTGTCTGCAGAATTTTACTGCAAACCAAGTCAAGTCAAAGGTAAAAATTAAAAACAAAAGACTTGAAGAACAAGGAGAAAACCTACTGTCCTCATACTTTTTAAATTTCAATTTATTGGATCCATCGGAAAGCCTATGGGAGTTCATCTAAATCTAGCCAGATCTTGCTGTCAATATACATATATGCATTTTCTTCTTCTTCTTCTTCTTCTTCTTCTTCTTCTTCTTCTTCTTCTTCTTCTTCTTCTTCTCTTGTTGTCAATATACATATATGCATTATTTTTTCTCCTTCTCCTTATCCTCCTCCTCCTTCTTCTTTTGCAAGTCCTGGGGCTTGAACTCTGGACCTGCGCTCTGTCCCTGAGCTTTTTGTTCAAGGCAAGCACTCTACCACTTGAGCCACAGTGCCACTTCTGGCTTCTGGTTTTTTAAGTAGCTTATTGGAGATAATAGTCTCACAGAGTTTCCTGACCAGGCTGGCTTGGAACCTCAATCCTCAGATCTCAGCCTCCTGAGTAATTAGGATTACAGACATGAGCCACCAGCGCCTGGCTACATGCATTCTTAAAAGCATTCCTTTTAGGTTTTTTGAGGTTTCTTTTGGTTTTAGTTTTTTTTTATACTTCTGGACATGGAACCCAGGCAGGGCCTTATGCATGCCAGGCAACAACTCTACCACAGAGCAACAACCCCAGTCTCTGGAGGTTTTAATGGTGAAGTGATCACAATTTCATTTGAACCTGCCAGCTCTGAGATAACTGGTATGGACGAGGATGCCAGTTCCAGATAATTATACCTTTCCCAGGAAAATCTCAAGTAATGTGCACTATCAAGAAAAAAAGAGGGGCTGGGAAGGTGGCTCAGTGGTAGAGCGCTTGCCTTGCATGCTTGAGGCCCTGGGTTCGATTCCTCAGCACCACATAAGTGAAAAGAAAAAAGCCGGAAGTGGCACTGTGGCTCAAGTGGTAGAGCGCTAGCCTTGAGCTGAAGAGCTGAGGGACAGCGCCCAGGCCCCGAGTTCAGGCCCAACGACCGGACCCCCCCCCCCAAAAAAAAAAAGAAAGAAAGAAAGAAAAGAAAAAAAGAATGAGGATAAGAGAGAAGAGAGGCCTTAGAGCAACTTTCAGAAGGTCTGCCTGCCTCAGACATAAAGAAACAGTACTACAGCCAAAATTAAAGCATGCAGTCAACTTTTCAGAGCTTGCAGGAAAAATATGCAAGGATCTATGAGGAGGGGCGACCTCTCCAACAGAAACAAGATCCGGATAAGGCTGATTTCTTGCAACTCATCTGGAAAAGTTGTTTCGGCTGTGCTGAACCCGTACAAGCATTTCTATGCTTAAGCCTAGTGCCCTTTAAAGTAAAATTTCACAGCAATACAAATGATTCCAAGTTCAATTTTAAGCTATCTATGAAGAGGAAGTGGCCTATAGTAGAAAGTATATCCTTCCTTATACTCATTCCCTAGGTGTAGAAATTTGGGGCCCCTTTCAGCCAGGTCAAGAGAGGCACATCATTCTTTGTCTATTCTGGAAGCCAAAAGCACTAGGATTTCTTCAACAATGGATTGCTCATACATTCCCCTTGCCTTTCATACAATATGCTTGTCTGCTGTGCTGTGGAAAAGAGCCATCTGCAGGGAGTATCTTCAATATGGGAGGTTTACATGAGGAAACAGACTTCTTGCCTAAAGCTAAACACAGATGTGCTGAGAGGTTCAATGCACCTTCTTCTATATCCATGCCAAACAGCTGAGCCTCTACTTACAGCCCCATTCCTGTGAGGGCCATCATTCCAGTTCTGGGCATTAAAGGAAAAGCAGTTTCTAGAAAGGATTTTCTTTGAAATATCATTTCAGTGACATTAAATACACAGAAACAAAGCAAGATCGCAATTAAAGTTTGCAGAAAAAAAAACTTGTCCAAGTGCATTTTTAAAGAAAACTGAAAGCCACTTGAAATTGGTAATAGTTTTTTTCCTTTTTCTTTTTTGTACAAGTCAACTATCTGTTTTATTGGTTCTTATTTTTGATAGATTATACTTTTTATAGTTTGTAATCTTTCACAAATGCCCTCAAAAAGCTTAAAAACATATGTTCTCATGCCCTGATAGTGAAGAAATGAAAAGTAAATCTTGAATTAAGCATTCAGGTTTCATATTTATTATGGGCTTTCAAATTCTATTCCTTGGTCGAGTCTAATGTAAACCAGGAGTCATCTTTCCCTTATGAATTCTACCCAAACAACTTCTCTGTTTAAATCCAAGTACATTAAACCATGAATGAAAACCTGAATTTATGCTGCAGAAACGGTTTAGATTCTCACAATGCATATGGACATCTTAAATGACTTGCATCTTTCCTAGAAAAGCGCACTTCTGATATTTAAAACTTTTGAGGCGCATCAAAAGCAATCTCCAATTATTTGAATCAATACCTAAACTCTGAATTCTGAAATATAGCAAGTTCCTAAACTTCTGCTGCTTTCTGGAAGAGCAAACAGAAGTCTATGCCACCCATCACCCTGTTTGATGACGATGAGCCATGATGGATCCTAATGCCACTTTCCAAGACGTCAAGACAACTTTGAGATCTGTGCCTTCAGATTTCTATTATGGTCACAGACTTGATATTTCTTACATTTTTTCTCAATTTTACTTTTTCATCTATTTAAATGAAAGTGGAGACTAAAGAAAAATGTCATCTAAGATCTAAACAGACAATGAAATCACCTCACCTTGCTGAACTAAATATTGGTAAACCAGTGTGCATTCTGCCGATCTTTACATAGGTAATTCAAGAAATCTGAATTTAGAAAATACAGTGCCAAGAATGGTCTGCTAATAAATAATCAATGTCTTATCTAATCCTCAGTTTCCCTCCCTAATAACTTCTACCCTGAAAAATATACATCTTCAGAGCACAACATCCTCATATAAAAAACCACCAAGTCTTCCAGCTACTTTATC